TTATTTCTTATATGGTATCAGAGCTTTGGTGAGAAATATTTGGGGGAAAAACAAAGTTGAACAGTCACTGTGCATCAAGTTGAACAATGACATTTCTATAAGTAGGCATTAGTTATACAGCTTGATAGTTCAATTCTCCCTTGTGTCTTTGAGAGCATATGTTTTGTTTATAAATTAGCCCCTCATGTTTTTAAATGTGTCTTTTTTCATTGAAAATGTTTTCGTGAGCCGAACATCTTATCGAGAAAAAACAAACCATCCACTTCTTCCAAGATAGTAATAAGGCTTACCTACACCGACTTTTTCACACTCCATTTATGAATCACACTAGAAATATTATTGTTTAATGGCGAAATCAGAAAATTTGTCAAGAGGTGTTCATATTATGTATGTATAGAAATTAGAAAGTAATTTTAACTTTTATATATAAAGGACAAATATATCCCGAACTATCGTAAATGGTATGCATATACTCTGTCATACTTTTGGGATATTGGTGCCCTTGCCGTCCAAAAACTAGAACATATATACCCTTTAAATTAACGGACATACACATGTCATAATCTTATCCACCGACTCAACATTTATTAAATATCAAATCGACGGATAAGATTGTGTCACGTGTCCCTATTTAATCTTCAGTTAGAGTGAAGGGGATATCTGCTCTAATTTTTGGACGGCAGGGGCATCAATGTCCCAAAAGTATGACGGAGGGTATCTGCATGCCATTTACGATAATTCGGGGATATATTTATCCTTTTTCCCTATACTAAAATATAATTTTTCGATGAAGAATGTTCAACGGACACCAACATCAAACCGTGGGGGCATTTCCGTCATTCCAATTGAATTAAATTGCAGTTTGGTATCCTTTACTTATTTATCGCCTCTCCTTCCCCCGAAATATTACCATATTTCGCGTTATTCTCAAGCTCTCTCTCTGTCCTCTCGTGCTTTCTCTCACTAGATCCCTCTTTCCCAAACTGTTCTTCAGGTAAAATCTTCTATTTGTTCGATTTATCAATCTCAGATTTACGTTTTCTTAGCTTTTGATTCAATTTTTTCTGTGAATTTCTGTTGTTATGATGTGATCTGAAGATTGATACATGAAACTTGCTTCGTGCTCTGAGAAATTGTGCTAATTTGATGATTTGATTCGTGAATTATTGATCTAGATCTTAAGTTTTGTTAGGCAGAGTTATCAATACTTAACTATATTGGTTAGATTTTTGTTTTGTTTTGTTTATTTTATGTCCAAAATGAGCATTGGAATTGGAATTAGGTAAAGTTGTCTCTGTATGACCTATATGACCGGTAGATCATAGGGTTTGAGTCCTAGAATTAGCTATACATGCACATCCAAGGTGTGACGTAGTGATCAAGTTCAAATCCAAGAAGAGAGAAAAACGCTAGATGATTTTTTCCCTTTTTCCTAGCCTTGGTGGATATAGTTATCTCATATCTGGTAATTGTTGCTGGTGGGAGTGGTAGGCATTTCGTGGTATTAGTCAAGGTGGTCCAGACAACATGGTTATCAAAAAAAGAGAGTAAAACTAGTGATGCATGCATCAGGGTAGACAGACTTTTTTCATACCCTCGGGGAATGCGGCATGTGTTTTGCACCGGGCTGTCCTATTTTGTTAATTTTACTGTCCATCTTCTAAGAGATGTCAGGTCATCTGTTCATTTTGATACATCTTTGGTACTGTTGTATCATTTGATCTTAGATGGTGAACTATGGTTTTTGATTCGTGTAATTAAATGTTGTAATGTATGCAGGGATCATTAAGAAGAAAGAGAAATGGGGTTGACATTCACCAAGCTTTTCAGTCGGCTATTTGCCAAGAAGGAAATGCGCATCCTCATGGTTGGACTCGATGCAGCTGGTAAGACCACCATATTGTACAAGCTCAAGCTGGGAGAAATTGTCACCACCATTCCAACTATTGGTATGTACTTTACTGACATGCAGCAAAATGCCTGGCAATAACATTTCTACAGTTTTAAGCTGTATAAGTATGACTAGTTCTGTTGCAATTATGACTCAAAAGACGAACCTATTGCTTCTTAAAAAAGATAAAAAGAAAATGGGGATAGGGGAAGTGGAAAAGGAGGGGGAGGGGATTACAAGGTGGGGAATCGGACCCTCACCAGTCACCAACAATGTTAAAGTTTAGGTACCTAACCAACTGAGCTACTAAGTTGCCCCAAAGAAAGACTAACCTATCATTTTGATAAGGAGACAGAAAATGTGCATAGAACTAGTACTATAACTGTCCCTCTACTTTTACTGTTTGCTGCAATTGATTAGTTTGTTATGACTTGGTTATCCTTCATCTGTCTCAGCTCTTTCTGTTGATCCAGGGAAAGCAATGTCTAATCAGGGGCATGTGGTCTATAATCAAAAATAATTATTTTGAACTTCTAAATATGTGATCTTGATTCTTGATGACTGCTTGTGTGATGATCTCTTTATGATTGTAAAATATGCAAATGTAAAGGCTCCTAAAAAGAAGCTTAGATTATCGGTATTGTAGAAATACCTGTGTTTCAGACAGCTATTTCCTTTTGGATCACTCGTGAATATCATTTTTAAGAATATTGACTAAGAGTACATTTTCTGGTGAAATAACACAATCCCCCCCCCCCCCCCGCGCCTTTGCACAGGTAAGAGTGAAACCAATATTTAGTCGATGTGATTGTCTTTAGTTGTTTAGTAGTGTGTGTTGTTTATAATTCTCAGAACTTTCCTTTAAAATGCACTAAATAAAAAGGGAAGTGTTAATTCTGATTAATGATTTATTTCCTCTGCTCTGATTAGCAAAAGCCTAGTGTTACTGAAGATTTTATCTTGTATTGTCTGCCTGTTATCAGTTTAATAAGATGTTGATAACATAGCTGCTATGATGAGCCATCAATAATAATTGATAATTTTCAGGTTTCAATGTGGAAACTGTTGAATACAAGAACATCAGCTTCACCGTTTGGGATGTCGGGGGTCAGGACAAGGTATACTCTTTGTTTTAAATTTTTAATCCAAAGACTTATCCTCTGCATAAAGTTCTGGTCTCTGTTAGACAAAATTAGTCTTGCCTCAACTTCCCTCTCTACTTATGTTGCATCTTATTTATGTTTGCTTTGGCAGATCCGTCCATTGTGGAGGCACTATTTCCAGAACACTCAGGGTCTCATTTTTGTGGTTGATAGCAATGACAGAGACCGTGTAGGGGAGGCAAGAGATGAATTGCACAGGATGTTGAATGAGGTAATAATCCTCGCCCTCTTTGTAATTTGTGTTCTTCTTGCTGGCTCAAATTTGACTTCTACAACTCAAGAGCTAAATATACTAAATGGTATATGATAATAGCCTCTCTAGTCTATAAGTTTAACTAGATCAGTTCTATGTATGCAACACATCATCTAGGTGGCTGTTATTCTGCGTTCATTATGTACTACTTAGTTACTTAAAGGCTGATATTTTCAATGACCTTGAAACCACTCTGCAACTGCTTCTCAAGCATTTGTGTGTCATCTTCTTTGAGCAGGGAAGTGGTTACTGCTTATGATCTTCTGTCACACATCCTCTTGAACTAAAACTCCTGAGTTGGTGATGAGACCGTTTTAACATTAAGATCACTAAGAAAATTAATCTTCAAAAGGTTCCTGGTAAAATATAGATTAAGAATTTTCAATTTTGATGTGAGCTTCATTGTAGGTACAGGTAGTTGCGTCTGTTTCGTATTTTTGGTTAGATTTTGTGCCATATTAGACTGAATCATAAACTTTTGGTTGTTAAGGTTGAAAGATGCACAAGCTAAAAGCTACCATTGGTGGAATGTATCACGTAACTGAGACAAAGTTCAACAACCTTCATCCTTGATAGGAGAATGTGAGAACTCCAGATTGGCAATTAAGTAGTTAGTGATGTATCTAGAGAATTTGGGAATAAATGGGTGTGGAAAAGAGAACTTATTCCTTCTACCTCATCTTTTAAACAAACAGGCTAAACAAAAAGCTTTATAATACTTTGCACAACTTTTCACTCGACAATGTGCGTGTATGATTCCATTGTTGCTTGAAAAGAACACAGGAAAAAAGGGTACGGGGAGGTAGGATATAGGAGGAATGCACGTGGAAACCACAGTCCAAGTTCTCTTTGCTGCTTACACCCCCTTTTATCTTATTTTCAGATATCTACCATTCGTTATTCATCAAACCAGAAAGTGCATAAAGAACTAGATACTTTGAATTGAGTTTAACCTTTGTTGTTCCTATATGTCTCAGGATGAGCTTCGGGATGCTGTGCTGCTTGTTTTTGCTAACAAACAAGATCTTCCTAATGCAATGAATGCTGCTGAAATAACCGATAAGCTTGGACTCCACTCCCTCAGGCAGCGTCACTGGTAAACGCTCTGCCAGAACATGTGACAACATCCCTTCCTGTTAAAGACATTCTGAAATGTTTCCCCTTTGCTATATTCAGGTACATCCAGAGCACTTGTGCAACTTCTGGCGAGGGACTCTACGAGGGGCTTGATTGGCTTTCTAACAACATTGCCAACAAGGTACTGATTAAAGTTCCTGTCACAAATTCTCTATGTACACAATTGAATTTCCTCTTTTTTTCCTAACATCCTCCATTTACAGGCCTAAGTCGAAGTAGCGTTGTTGCGGATTGATCCTGGATGCAGGCGGGTTTTTATCTAATTCCATTTTCTTTTATTACGTCTTTCTTCTTCTTTTTTCAAACATTTTCTGAATTTGTGTGGTTATGGCATTTGCTTCTTAGGAGGTCACTTTTGAAATGTTTTTGTAATACAATGTTTGAATGTATGTAATCTGCTGATTGTTTAGGTTAGAGTATAAACGTTATTAACTTGTAACAAATGCTAGCTCTTTTCTGGTTATTTGCAGTCAATTTAAAATGCATATCAAATACCATAATACAAAACTATGGTATCAAAAATTTCAATTCAATATGATAATTCGTTACTATCAACTCATTGCCGACTCTTCTTTCTGAACTGAGTAAGGACAGGGTATATGTTGTCAAATGCAGCATATGTGTCATCCCTAACCTTGGCTCCAGTGATAACAATTTTCCCAGAAGCAAAAACTAGCAGCACGATTTTCGGTTTCTTCATACGATACACCAATCCAGGAAATATTTCTGGTTCGTAACTCGAGAAAGCACTGTGAGCAATGGCAAGTCCTTCAAGTCGAATAGGAAATTTAACATCACAAGAAGCAACAATATTCTGGATTTTGAAATCCTTAAACTTGACTCCAGGATAACCAAGCTTTTGTACAATTCTAGCGTATTTTCGAGCTGCTAACTTCGAATCGTGTTCACTTTTGGCTCCTGTACAAACAATTTTCCCAGTAGCAAAGATCAATGCTGTAGTTTTTGGTTCTCTAATTCTCATGATCACTGCAGGTAAACGTTTCGGATTATACTCTGCGTTTTGAGCTTTAAGTGCAATGGCTTTGAGGTCTAATTTACCGCAGTTTAGAGATAGCGTCGCCGCGATGTTCTGGAGAGTAGGGATTATTGCAGAAGAGTGATCCGCCATTGTTGTTGTTCTTCAGTTGCAGAAGAAAGGAAAAAGGAAATAAAGCGGTAAAAAATAATTTAAATTTGGACGAGGGGTCCTTTTATAGAGGGTGAATCTCGGTTATTATTATTAACTTTCCGGTGTGGGACAATTCTTCTTTTATATCCCTAAAGTAGAACCCTTTTGTATCTGATATCCATGTTAGAGTTCGATTAAATTTATTTATATTTCTGGAGGTGGTAATTGGTATTCCCAATAGAAATTTTCTCTACTCTCGTGGACTCAAAATTGAGACTTCTAGAGCGATCCCAATTTCCAACGAGAGGTAGTAAATAGACTGATATTGGGAGAGTTAAGATGGTTTAAGTTAATAAATGACCTGTCCGAAAATTATTTGGGTTGAAATGGACTAAAATGCGAGTCAAAATTTAACTCATTCATTTTTTGTTTTATTTGTTATTTTATAATTTTTAGTACTTAATAAAATTATTGGTTCTTTATTATAACTACCTATAATATATCAAATAATAAAAATATTTTTGAAAATATTTTAACAAGATTTTTCATGGATCAATCTAGAGTAAAATGAAATGTATTTATAATTATTTTTTTTGTTTAATTTTATAAGAGAGTTTTTGGCTTTGTTATGGTAATGATTATATTATTGGAATTGTGTTGCGAGAGATCTGTTCAAGTGATTCGATGACAATTTGATTTGTTTTCTTTATTTTTATAGAGAATTTGTTATATGAAAACTAATTTACTTAAAGTTGAATAGTAGAATATCATCCATTAGTTGCAGTATGATGGGTGAGATTTCAAGCCTAAATTTTTTTGATTAGGATGGTTAGTCTTAAGAAATAAATTACGCTTGCTTGTAAATTTATATTAGTCAAACTTTAATATGAGTATTAAACATCAAAATAACAATAAATAATGTAATGTTGAAGTATGAAGAGAATAGTGTATATATAACTTTACTCCTACTTTGTAAGAAAAAAAATGTTATTTCTGACTAACCTCAAATACAAAGAAGAAAAGAACGATGACAACCACAAATAATATGATAACATAAACAAGGACCTCCCATCGACAGAATGCTAGTTCAGCCAAATTCAGTAAATTTTGCACAAACATCATATTTATATTTTTAACAAATACATCAAATATAAGCAAATATGAACTTTAAAACACAACTACTATCACTTAACATCCATTATCACTAAATTCAAAACTCAAAGAGTCAAAATCCTAGTTCCGCCTTAACAGAGCCACTCAAAAAGTTGAAACCTAGTTCCGCCTCAACGGGGCCACTCAAAAAGTAGAAATTCTAGTTACGCCTCAATGGGGCCGCTCAAAAAGTCAAAATCCTAGTTCCACCTCAACGGGGCCACTCAAAAAGTCGAAATCCTAGTTCCACCTCAACGGGGCCACTCAAAAAGTCAAAATCCTAGCTCCGCCTCAACGGGGCCACTCAAAAAGTCGAAATCTTAATTTCGCTTCAATGGGGTCACTCAAAAAGTCAAAATTCTAGTTCTGCCTCAACGGGCCCACAAGCAAGGGCGGAGCCACGTAGGCTCCAGGGTGTTCAATTGGACACCCTTCATCGAAAAATAATACTATATATACACGTAAAAATTTGACTTTATTGGTATATATAGCATTTGGACACCCTAAAAGAACAAAGTAATGTGTAGTGGAGTTGGCAATAGCCGTCGCGAACCTATTCTCTGCCCCGATTCAATTCCCCACAGTAGTGTTTCATTTTTCTGTAATTATTTTGACTTCTTGAATTTAATTAAGTAAATAAATATGCGTAATTTCAACATAAATGTTTAGTAGCTTGGTGGTTAACAGTGTCATGATTTGTTTTAGGAAACCCAAGTTCGAATCTTACCTCCCCTAACTATTTTTTTCTCAATTAAAATTGAATTATTTCCTTAAATTTTAATACCTTTTCCTTGTGGAATAAGATTTCCTTAAATTTAACTATTTTTTTCCAATTAAAATTGAATTATTTCCTTAAATTTTAATACCTTTTCCTTGTGGAATAAGATTTCCTTAAATTTAATACTTTTTCCTGTGGATTTTTTCAATTAAAATTGAATTATTTCCTTAAATTTTAATACCTTTTCTTTGTGGAATAAGATTTCCTTAAATTTTAATATTTTTTCCTTGTGGGATAAGGTTTTCTTTCTCTATAAATAAGAGACTCATTTACCCAAATTATATCACAATATTATTAAGAGTAGAATCTCAATAATTCTCTCTCTATTTTTTCTTCTCTTTCTCTTATTTTATAGGGAAAAGACATAAAATCCCTCCTGAACTTGTCCGCACAACTTACTTTAGCACTTTAACTATACAAGTGTTTCTTTACCCCCTAATTTAATTACCCCTTAAAGAGTGACGTGGCAAAATTTGTATCACCAACTTTTCATAAGCACGTGAGAAAGGAAAAGACACCAAAAAACTGATACATGTCATCTTTTTATTGGATAACATACTTAATAACTTATTTTACTAATTTTTAAATATTTTATTTTGAATTAACTTTTCTCCCTCTATATTTCTTTTTCTGCATCTTCTTCTTTATTATTTTTTCCAGTTTTGTTCTTTTTCTGCATCTTCTTCTTCATTTTTTTTCCTCTTCTCATAACTCTTTCTCTTTTTTATTCTTTTCATTTAGTTCAAGTAAACATTTACTTCCAAATATAACTTCTTCCACATTTTTTCTTCTTCTTTTCTTTTTTATTTTTAATCGTTTCTTTCTTTTTTTTACAAATTTTTTGGTGTTTGATTCACCCACCATTTTTTACATCAAAGAAGATTATTAGATCTATCAGTTTAAAGCGTTATCAGAATGAAGTTGACTTCCATTAAAAAAAAATCGAAGATATTGTTGGCAAAAGATTAACTATGGAGATTTCGCCCAATTCATTAATAATTTTTCATTTTTATGCAAATAATTTTAAAATTTTTGAAGAAGGTGGTATCGTATAACTAAACTGAAAATGCAATTGAAATTTGAATTATAGTTTGTATATTGAGGAGTAAATTAATTGATGGGTGTAATTTTTGGCTCAATATTAAAAAAAACAATTATTATGGAGATTTAAGCAATTAATTAGGAATTTCGTTAATGTACACGTGGACGAATAAAAACGTGTGTGACTCAACAACACTCAACCTTCAACTGGGCTGGTGATGAGAGGCTTGAAAAAATCACTTAAAAGATGTTAAGGGGGTATATAAACACACGTGTAGGTTAAGTATTAAAGTAGGTTTTTGTGTCAAGTTCAGAGGTTTTTTTTTTAATGTATTTTCCCTATTTTATAACAAAAATAACCAACTTAATATTTTAGTTTCAAGTTTCAATGGACATGAGGAATTATTATAATAAAGTACCAAAAAAAAGTTCAACTTCTCTAAGTCAACCAAATAAAGAAACAACGGTAGATCAATTAGAGATATTGTCACATTCTTCTCAAAAACAAAGCATTGATATAAATACTCTAGAAGTTGATCCAACAAAAAGAACTTCAGTTATAAAAACGTTTCAGGATATGGAACTTCGTCGAGTACAATTGTAATAATATATTTAAATTATGTTTTCCATAGTAGTTTATTTTGTCTTTATGTTAGTTTTGAATTATACACTTATAATTCTATTTAAAATATTGCTTAACTTGATTATTTGTTTTGGTAATTTAAATCATCATTTTTTAAGAAAAAATTTAGACACCCTTCATGAAATTTCTGGCTACGCCATTGTCCACGAGAGGAGAAAAAGGAATGGTGGAATTACCATCTATCCATACTCAACGCGTGGCTCACGTGCTTCAAGAACACTATTATTAAACGTAAAATGAACTTCTCATATAACAAACTCAAAAAACGGAACGCCACTCAGATTCATTTGACAAAAAATTAATAATCGAAGTGCACAAATTCTGAGCAATTTCTCAACTTGATAAGCTTGAAGTATTTTTTAGCTAAATCTGTTCTTCCTGTCCCTTTTGTGGTATTTTGAGTTATTAATTATCATTTTTTGCTTGTATTTGTACTTAAAATTAGCGATCTGAATTCATAATACAGATGATTTGTTGCTGGATGTTTGATTTACTATCTAAATTTTTTAGTTTCAGCTCGACCTATTTGTGGATCCATTTTTTTTCATTTTTATTTTGATTTTTTGTGGTTACTGCAGTTCATTTTTACGAAATTGGATGAAATTTTATGTGTTGATGGGAATTTGAATAGGTTTAACAGTGTTTCTCTGCTGTTGGTAGTGGGTGGACGGGCTTATAATTGCGTGTTTGGCCAAACTTTTAGAAAGAGGAAAAGTGTACTTATTTTGGAGAATTGAGGTGTTTAATCAAACTTTTAGAAGGAAAAAGTGTTTTTGAGTAGTAGCCAAAACTGTTTTTTTAGGAATTTTTCTTAAGAAAGTTGAGGTGTTTGGCCAAACTTCTAGGAAGCCAATGTGTTTTTATAAATATTAGGTAAATAAAATGCTTATTTTAGAGAATTGAGTTAGTAGCAGAATCTGCTTTTTAGAGGAAAAAAAGTATTTGGCCAAATTTTTAGAGAAAAAAATGTGTTTTTGAGTAAGTAGCAGAAACTGCTTTTTAAGAGTTTAGTTTTTTGAAGAAAGGTGAGGTGTTTGGCCAAACTTCTGGTAAGAACTTATCATAGAGACTTGTGTTGTTTGGCCAATCTTTTAGGGGAAAAGAAGTGTTTTCTGAGTAGCAACAGAAACTGTTTTTCAAGAGTTTGCTTTAGAAAGTTGAGTTGTTTGGCCAAACTTTTAGTTACTCGAGGCGTTATTTGAAAGAGGCCAAAAAGTTGGCTCTCTTTACTTTAAGAGCATATTGATTCCAAAAGCTTTGGTTTTTCCGACTCCAAAATGGAAACAAGGAATCTGTGAAAGAATGCATCTCGTGTTGATGTGGTAAATCTGTCTCGAGATTGAGTACATTACAATCTGCTTTCTTCTTTTAGGAGTTGTGTGGTTTGATAATGATTTCAATATGGAATACAACTTTGATGGAGAAACATGGCTAGTAAAGGATTCATATTGCCGACCCCAACTTGTTTGGGACTGAGGGCTTAGTTGTTATTGTATGGAATACAATTTTTATCTGCTTCCTCTGTTTTATAAAGTGTTGATTCCAAAGTTTCAGTTTTTCCAACTCCAAAATGGAACTAAGAAGTTTGTGAAAGAATGTTTCTTGTGTCAGTGTGATAAATCTGTCGAGATTGAGTACAATATAAACGTGTTTTCTTCTTTTGGAAATTTTGTGGTCGATATTTAAATCAATCCCACAAGCATTCTGTTGTATATGATGATATAAAAATGTTGGATAAACTAATACTTGAAATTATGCAGGTTCTGATTAGCTCAATGAAGACAGAGGGTCAGGGAATAGATGTACTGGAGAATACGAGCGATGCACATAATAGATTGCCTCGTCCAATGATCCAGTCTATTTTCTCAGGATTCCAGGAAAAGGTCCAAGAGTGTGTTAAGGTTTGTTCCTCTCTCTTCAATATGCTTTTCGATGTATATATGATCTATATATATTCACAAATTTTCTTCGTTGCTGCAGTCAAATTTCAAAAGATTGAAAATCGCTCATGATAAATCAATCATGAGAGGTAATAACAGAGGAGCAGCTGTAGTCATAGATGTGGATAAAGAGAAGCAATTACAATCTTGGAAAGAGAACCCGAGTTGGGTTGATCCCCCGCCAAATGTAAAGGTAATACTATAGTGAAATTTTTTGTAGGATGTAAATTTCCTATTGCCAAACTTTACAGTCAATGGACTGCTGAAGCTATTCCCTCATAGCACTTAATGGGGATATGACCTCCTATTTCTTGTGCTATACCTAAAAAGGATGATTTCAACGTTATGTTGATTAGTGCATGTTGCTCTTGTGCACGAGCCTTGTTAATCTTCTCTTGATTATTCCAACTTTTTCAGCTATTCCGTAGGGTACTTATTCAGTTTTACCAAACAAGGAAGTAAGGAGGATCATAACAGATTGATCTTTTCAAAGTTCTTTTTTTTTTTTTTGAGAAGTCACATGTTCAGATGTGACCACCGCATTTGTTGTACTTAGTAGAGCTTAGTTATGTTGTTTGATTTTGTTATGAGGCATTATGATTTGTGAACTTTAATCCTTGCAGGTAAGTGTACCCAAAGGTTCTCTTTGCAACCTGAATGTGAAAGTTAATATTGGACTGCCCCCAGATACCGTGTTTGACATTGTAACCGACCCTGAAAATAGAAGAGTCTTCAAGAATATCAAGGTAAGATATCTCATTACTATGTTAAAACACCTTGTCTCATCACAATCTTTTCAACGGAAGTAGTATCATCCATCGAAGGTGTAAAATTTCTTTCCATTTATATCTCATATGTTACGCTTTTCTTCTCTTAAGCTTTATTATCATTTGCCTTTTCACTTCTAAATATGATCTGAAGTTTCTACATATAATTTCAGGAAGTATTATCAAGGAAGGTGTTGGTTGATGAAGGTTCAAGGCAAGTAGTGGAATTAGACCAAGCCGCAATATGGAGATTTCTTTGGTGGTCAGGAACAATATCTGTTCATGTATTAGTTGACCAAAACAGAGAAGACTACACGGTAATGACCAACCTGATCACTGATTAATTGCTGTTTTTTTACATGTACCATACTGCCTGCCAAGGCCGGCTCTATGTATACAAAAATAAGGCATTGGCCTTAGGCCCCCAATTTTAGGGGGCCTCAATTTTTTATCAAGAATAAATTATGTGTTAATTTTTTAAAGAAAAACATTAATTATTTATGATAAAAAGTATATATTTAAAATTATTATTTTATTCTCTTCAACCCAATTCAAATAGAAAAGATCAAGAAAGTATTGTTTTATTTTCTTACACTCTCTCTACTTATACTCACATTATTTTCTTTTTAACTCCTTTTACACTCTCTTCTTTAAATTGTTGATAAGTTAGAGTAATATTCTGTCAAAAATATCAATTAATAGTAAAAAAGTATTGAACAAATTGAATTGTAAATTCTTTTTCCATTTCTTCTTAGATTTTCAAGCATTACAACAACCATAGTAAAATGTGGGGTAACCAAATTATCAACTTCATCAAAGCTATGGTTCTCACTCTTATATTTATTTGAAATTTGTCAACTTATTACTTGTAGAACTATGTTAACAATTCATATAATGATTGCCCGAGTAAAATAATATTTTTCAATGTTGAATTAATAAAATCTTATTTAAAACTAATAATTGAAAAAGAAATCGAATAAATCATTTATATATAAAAAAAAATATTAGGTAATACTTTGCATTTAAAAATGTAAGAAAAATAAACTTTAAATAAATGCATGTGAAGTTTATTTAGATTTTAGGCCTCTAATTAAGATTTCGCTTTAGGCCTCCGATTACGTTGAGCCGCCCCTGCTGCCTGCTTCTTATGTTGTGTCGTGAATTAAAGGAAAACGTGAGAAGTCAATTCAGTCCACATTTAGTGAAACACAACCCATCATACGAGTATAAGTTCGGAGAATAGTATTTGAACTTTGAGTAGTACAGTAAATTTCTGTATTAGTTGCTGAAAAAAATATCAGGTCCGTGAGCAGCATATATACCTATCTGTTGGACGAACCTGACAGCTTGCATAAGTGACTACGCAAATTGGAACCATTTGTCTCATCTTGATATATAGCGAACCTATATCCTTGTCCAGCACGAAATTGCAAAATCTTGTTTACCATCCCGAGTCTCCAAGTAATTTGTAAGTAGATTTGAGCCTTTGACTGTAAATGCAAAGCATAGTTACAGAATAAAAAAAGTGTTGAGGACTGGTTCTTTTAGACAAAAGAACTTCTTTGTGCCTAAAGATTTTAGCTTCACGTTAGGTGCTTCTTTCAAGCAACAACAGTATCTAACAACGACTAGCATCACGGTTCACCATACTTCGGACTGATGCCAGTTTGCAAAACTGCTATGGAAAAGAATAGCTTATTGTATTTCTCCTACATACTTGACTTTTGATTTTTTTATGTTTGTTTGTTTAGATGAAGTTCAACCAAGTGAAAACTGGATTCATGGAAAGATTTGAAGGTCGTTGGAAAGTAGAACCCCTGCTTGTTGATGAACATCTTTGCCATCCCTTCAAACCTAAGACGTTAGCGGATTACATTTCATATACTAAAGGAAAAGGAAGGATTGGATCAACGGTTAGCTTGGAGCAACTCATTCAACCAGCTATTGTACCTCCTCCTCCCATTTCATGGTATCTTAGAGGAATAACCGCCAAGACAACGGAGATGATTATAACAGACTTGGTTGCTGAAGCAGCTAGAATACGAGGATCTTCCAGTAACGATGGTTCCCAGGGTTTGAAGGTAAACGAAGAATCCTCCATTGAATCTCAAGTAAGCGATATTCGTGATATAAAAGAAAGGTGGGCCTTAAGAAGGAGAACATCAAGGCATCATCGAAGATCATCTTCGATTGCCAAGTAATTGTTGAGAGTACATTCTTTGTTGTATCATAGCTGATAGATATACTCTATTAATGTGTGATACGGTATAGGGAATTACTCTTATCTCTCCCATTATATGTTATATACTTTTCTTTTCAATCTATTCCAAATGTGTGATACGGTATAGGGAATTACTCTTATCTCTCCCATTATATGTTATATACTTTTCTTTTCAATCTATTCCAAAAAGAATATCGTATCAACACTTCGAACGTCTCATTTTACACTTTAATGAGATGATTTATAGCCACACAAAAGTCAGATAGAAAGAAAGTGTATAACAATCTATAGCTCAGTATCTATACTGGTTTATGGCTCATCTGCCTATTCAAAAATGAATCTGAACTTTTGTGTGATCATAAAGCAGAGAAAGCAGTATCATCAGAAATTTGTAAAATTCACAACAATATACAATAATACATTAACAATTCGAGTCAACGGTTTATAAGTTACAACTTGTCAGGGGATAAACATTTGAAATGGCATGAATAAAGAAGTTTTCACAGTTTTCGAGTAGCAATTGGTTTAAGGGGAACTGATATCTTACAAGCTGCTGAGAAACTATATAATCCAGAACCATGATACAATGGAACCAATTGCCAGACCCATCACCAAGAACAAAACGAGTAAGGTCCCAGCAATCTCTGCATGTTGCAGTTGGACAGTTTTTGGACCCAAGATCAATAACAAACTAGTCAGGTAGCCGTTAGTTAATCCCAGTAGACAGGTTAGTATTGTGACAGGAAGCTCCGTCCTAAAGAATTTAGGCCCATGTAAGCAAGCGTAGAATAGAGGCAAAAACAACAGCCTTGCGAAGCAGGCACCAATAGCAACCTTGGCATTATCAAGAAATAATACAGGAGTCAGAGACTTCCCGACCAGATCAAACACATTGTAGCCGGTAATCAACAAGATCGGATACCAATCCGTCAGAAGTTGAGAATGCACGTCTTCTGTGATATATCCTGGAAATATAGACAAGGTGACCACATAAAGACTGATGATGCCAAAACCATACCATTTCACAGTCCCAACAATGTCCAGAGTTGATCTCCATAATTCCGGAGTTAAGTCACCCTTATCCTCTCTCTCCTCGTTCACTGCCTGAATTTTGAGATCATTGTAGTACTTAATTACTGGAAGCCTATGTGCAACATTGTAAAAGACTATGCACAAAACCATCACAGCGATGCTGAAAATAAAATAAAGGTTTGCACTCTTTCTCAGCCCATTAGCATCTTGTGGATATACAGATTTGGTTAATATTCTTAGCAACGAAACAAGGACACCTGCAACATAGAACAAGAGTCTTAAGATTGTTATCCCAACTTTCTGATCTTAATGTGCTGATTGGACAAAAAGAGAGGGAATACAAATGCTTTTTTTTTGATAAAGAGAGGGAATACAAATGTTAAAAGCCAATAGATTTGGGGAAGTTATATTAGGATGCTCTTTTCTAGATTCACCCTAATGAGTTAAGGTTAATGACACAGAAAATGTCAATATGTCACAACAAGAAGTTTTTCAGGGTGTCAAGTACAAGACCAATGCCAGTGATATGTCAAGGGAAAGGCCAATCCCTAGCCACACTAGGCCTCATGGAATGCCATACTCTTCTTTCTACTGTTGTAACTTATAATTAGGAATCTCGGTACTTAGATATCTCTCCTTGTTTAATTGTTTTCATTAATTCCTATAGTTTCCACTTACCTTTTTTCTCTAATAGCCTAAACTTCTATATAAGGAGCTTCCTGTAAATTGCTTACAAGTTACAACCAAATTGCAATATAATATTTTTGCTTATTTTCTCTTTCGGCAAGGTATCAGCATCACTTGTTACAACCTAGTAGTTTAGCGGTGGGAAGCCTTATGCAGCATGCATTTAAAGTATTTCTATCTCCCCTCATAATTTTACTAGGCTGGCCTCTTTCTTGTGACCGTTCAACATCATCGTCCACTGTTCCAGCTACTATTTTGACCTTTGTTTTAACATCACGTCTCATGTTTATCAAGGAATTTATCTGATAGTGTATGTCAGTTGACCTATTACCTGTCAATTTAGCAGTATATACATGTTCACCAATCAAGCTAATGCTTTATATTTGTCAAGTCAGTGTTATGTCGCCATCTAGCAACACTATCCTATTCAGCATCATATCACCGTCCAATGATCTGTCACTATCCAGTTTGCTCTACATCATCATCCAACAACGCATTACTATCAAATCAGTGCCACCTCACTATCTAATCGGTAGTCACACACCAGCCCAATCAGTTGTCGTATCATTGTCCCATCATCACATTCACTGCCATGTCATCAACAGTAACTTCTTTCGGGTTACTTGATTTGACCATCAAATTTTGATTTGTAAAATCATATTTGCCTCAGTAGCTTGAGTGTGAGAAGGAGCACGTTGAAAGTCAAGAAAATTTGTGCAGTTATATGTTAGAATGCTCTAGAATCATTATATGTGCTTATATTAATACTATAGATTATTCCTAATTCCGTCATATTTAAGAATCCTGAATGTAAGTAACTTCTCCTATTTAATGACATTTCTTATTTCTATTAGTCCTAACTTCCTTAATCTAGTACCTATACACCTGCATAAGGAAAGTCTTGCTTGTTCTTCATAGCCAATTGTACAACGTTCTCTCTTTTTATGACATACTGAAAACTTGATAGTGGAACTCACAAGACATTGCACGTAATATCTTCCAGTGTGACATTGCTACAAGGAGCACAGAGGTGTCCAGCAAGAAATAATATTTGCTGAAAAAATAGTAAGCATCATGTTTTTGTTTCATTACATACCATCTTCCATCATGAAGAGCAGCAAAATATATTCAACAACTAAATGGTTAAACCAAATTTTCCTTTACAAAGTCATGAAGAATTTGATCTATTGACCACCTTGACAAACAAATGATATCAGATTACATAGTGCCTGATAGAACACTTCATCAGCTAAAGAGTCTGAAATATTAAGTGGGTTTGACTTATATTTAACTAGCTACACTACCAGCTTTAACTAAATCCCAATCTAGGGTGAAGATAATATGGACTAGTAGATATCAATTCAATTGAATTATCCTATTCCAGTGGCAAATGTGAATAGAAATCATCCGGAAGACAAGATAACAGGTTGGACAATCAGAAACACAAGTTGCAACAGTTTTAGCAGATAAGGGAGAAGAATATGTTGAAGTTCCCCAAATTCTGAACGGTTGAGGAAACAAAGTTCTCTAGCAAATCTAGTGAAGATTTGCATTGACTCATGGCCAGATACTTCCCCTGAACAACTGTTTGAATATCTACTGCAGCTTTAACATGAACAACAACAACACCATACCCAATGTAATTCCGCAAGTTTGGTCTGAGGAGGGTAGGGTATACACAAACCTTATTCCAGAGGTTGTTTGTGATAAATTTTCGGCTCAAAAGAGAAATACACTAAACATATTGCAAGAAAAATATGACAGCATAATAAAAAGACACAAAGCAAATGAAGCAACCGATAGTAATACACATTGATGAAATTGAGTTGCATCAACTATAACTTTAAAATCAACTAAGCCTCAATCCCAAAATAAAAACTTAGATCACTATATGAATCATCAGTCAATTCAGGTCAATCCATTCCAATACATAGAAGATCAGATGCAATATCATCAACATCAGACTCAAATTAACCACATAAGAGCCAATTCAGGTCAAATACTGAAAATCAAAGAGCAAAAGAGGAATTTTCAATACCAGAAAAAGCAGTTCCGGCGACAGTAGCCTGCATATACCGATCCGGCAACTCTCCGGCAGCTCCAATAACTCCACCCTGAACCAACGCATCAGCAAATCCACAAATTCCAACCAAACCAACAGTAACACCAAAACCAGCATACACTCCAACTCTCCCATCCACATAAAACACATCCATCAACGGCACCGCAACAAGCGCAACCACAAATAAAAACATTCCAACATTAATCCTCACAAAAGCACTAGTCTTATTAGAAAAGGCAACAATCAAGAGCAAACAAATCAATCCAACGACCATGTAAACAATGGCGAAGATACGATCTACCATAACGTCCGGGTATAGGTAAGTGAAGTAATCGACGGCGGTGATGAATGCATTCCATGGGAGGAGATAACCGGCACCGAGAGTAAAGTAGATTATGTAAGCTATATGGAACGTGTCTTTCGGAATTTTAGGATTTGAAGGAGTTAACAGTGATGTCGATTCTGAACCGCCGCCGTTCACGGTGGTTGCACCCATCGCCGGTGGTTTTTTCCGGTATAATTTTACTTTTTCTGTGGATAATAATGAATTGTACTTCCGTAGTGGTTAGTGAGATATTTTAATTTCATAATTCTCAACTACCTTTAATAGCATAACATGTTTGGATGATGTTTCTTTATTGTTAGTTTAAATATAATATTTATTTTAATTATTATTTAAATTTTATAAGATATAGCGTAATTTTATATTATCGAGACATGATTTTAGATAGGTGTGAAGGTTAGTAGGAGTAGAGTGTTATCTTGCTTTGCAAAGATTTAGGCTTGTTACGTAGTATTAGTCGTACTCGTATAGTGTTTGTTATATTTCAATTATCACACTATTATGATGTTGTTATTGTTTATTTCTTGTAAACTCAACACTGTCTTTTTTAATCAATTTTAATCAATTGATCTATTTCTTTCATTATTTTCTTCTTCTTTTACTTGAGTTTGTTGTATTTGAGCTGAGGGTCTTTCAGAAATAATTTATCTACCTCCATGAGGTAAAGGTGAGGTATGCATATAATTTACCCTCCCCAAACTTCAATTAGTGATTTTACTAAGTATGTTATTGTTGTTGTTGTTGTTGTATCGTGCCATTTAAATTCATTGTCTTAATATTTTTTTTTTCCATTTTATCTTTTTTTATTATTTAATAATCTTACCATTTACTCTACTTTTTCGTAGTAGTTCTACCGCATATCATACTTCTTTAATAGAATTATCATTCAAATTGTTGATATGTTACCTTATTTAACGATAGACAACGATATTAACTATTCAAATAAACTATTTATTTAAATAATATAGTATGATATAATACAACATAATACAATATAAACTAATACGTAACTATCATCGCAACATAATGGTTATGCCCTTGAGTGTTGAGGTAAAAAATATTACTAGCACTTTGTATACTGTTTAATATTTTTATATTTAGTTAACCAATATTTTTTAACAAAAAAACTTCAAAAATTAGGGGAAATATCTTTTTGGTATAAGGAAATTAAGTTTTATAAATGAAATTCTAACGTTAAGTTTCTTCTATAATATTTATCTAGATTATGTAGAAATTTTTTGAGAATATATAGATTGCTTATTTTTTTTAAATTCTAGAAAATAAATTTAAAAAATCACTTCATTTTCAAAAATAAAATAAAATTTAGTAAATGTGTTTTTATCACACACCTAATTAGTACTTATATTAAATTAATAAATATAAGATACTATATATTTATTATTTAATTATGATTAAATGACATTAATTTATACTTAAATTCTTAATAGTCAAAATTAACTTATTTGATTTAATATAAAGTTTGGTAGGTGTAAATGATTATGAATTCACGTTCTCATCATCTTTCGTAAAATAAAGTCCATAAGTATTTATTTAATGTCCCATGTGAGGAATAAGTGAGGAAACAGACATTCCAATAACAAGGAGTTAAATATTTAATTATTTAGCATAGTGGAGGGGATGAAGGCAATAATTAATTGTAAATATAGAAGTAAAACGAACGGTACGATATCGTTTTAGTGATGAGTTTGAATATTTCTTAACATTATAATTAAAAGAATATTAATTAAGAATTGTATTTGGTGTTGGAGCAAGGAAAGTGAGACTTCAAAGCAAAGTTTGGTGATGTTGACTTATCGATACCTTTTATAAAACACTTTCGAATTATATTTTGAAAGAAATAAAATTAGGTATATGTTCATAAATATCAGTATATAAATAAGTTAATCATATTATATATACATTAGCATCAATTAAAACATGTGTAAGATTTTACTCGCTTATTAAGATTATGTTAAAGAATATAAGTCGAAGTATTCTATTAATCATCAACGTTCGAATATGATAATTTTTCTCAAGCAATCAAACTCTCAAATATTTGAGATTTCTTGTTTAACTTCACAACGATTATAATTCACATTTATGTCATATGAAATCTATATTTTGTATTAGTTCATGACAAATGAGTGTGATATAAGGAAGCAATTACTTTAAGATTATATTATACTAAAGTATTTGCATTTTCCCTACTTGTATTCAATCTAATTTCCACTATAAATGCTGCTTATACACTCGAATTATTGTAATTACTCGATCTAAGTTAAAATTAATGTCATTATTCATCAACTGATCAATCAAGAGTTGTTGATATGATTCGATTTTTCTCTTTTTGGTTTCAACATATTCGATTTCATAACTTTTGTTTGGTTAGATTTGTATAGAGAATTGTAACTTTTTTTTTTTTTTTTGTCTTTAATAAAAAAAAGGACAAAATACTAGAACAAAAAAAAATAAAATTGGAACTTTTAATTTCTTTTGAAAAACCGATCGAACTGAATCGATTTATGTTATTTTTTAATAAAATCGTGGACTTTTATTTAAGTGTATAACTGTGCCGAACAATTGGGATGATCTTTTTAATTTATGAAAAAAATTGAAAATTTTTCAAACCGAACTGAATAGTATGTAAATATAAATTAAATATATAAATATATTTTATAACATTTTTCAAATATAAATATAACTTAGGTCTTAGGCCTCTGGTGACTAGACGACTTTGAGTTTTTGCTCTTTAATTAGCCTTACTTAATTAGGTTGAAAATTGAAAGATATTGTAATAGATACTCTATCAACAATACAACAAAACGTGTCCAAACACTCCTATTAAATATTTATGATCAAACAATACGGCAACAAGGTTTTACATTCTTGTCTTTTTGGTGAAGAATTAAAGTGATTCTTTAAGAACATATTTGTGAAAGAAATATATTAACAGTAGTATATTTTGAGGTGATATTTTGAAAGTAAAAAATAAAAATAAAAATATTAACTGGACCGTACCGATATGATTGAGATGGTTTTAAAAAGTCTAATTTTGGTTATATATTATAAAATACCCAAAAATAATTGAGATGATATAAAAAAAAAATTAAATAACCGACCGAACCATACCATTTACACTCCGAAGTTAGAGTAAAGAAATATGTGGTCATGTATGAGCTTTTGCATTAGGCAATCATCAGTTCTATGATAAATATGAAAATCTGAAAAATTATGTAAATTAAATTTATCAAATTGAATTGAACTTTTATTACATTAAGGGGAAAAAGATTTAATTTTTAAAGAAAATTCTAATTTAATTTCTCATCGTCACAATATTTCCTATGAGATTCATCGAGTGATGGCATAAAAATGACACTATCTGTTATATTTGAGATTTAATAAATTATCATAATACTTAAATCAAAATATCATATTGAATATCAAAATACAAAAATATCAAATATTAAATACCATATCAAATATGTGACAAGATAAGTATTCAAGAGTATCATTATCATAGAATTTGAAGTGAATATATCGAATTTGGAGTCATTTGAAGTTGATTAACAAATATTTTGAAGGAAAACTTATTTATGTATTTCTACACAATTATCACAATAAACCGTCATAATTAGACCAGAAATATTGAAAAGATCATGATAATCAGTTAAAAGTTTGGTTAAAATTAAAATATTGATACTGAAATATTTTCTTTGCGCAAATTATCCATGTTCTATGTTTTTGGTCATACGGTCCATTTTGAATTGGAATTACTATTAATAACTAGCGAAATTTTGAAATTGTAATAGAATTTTGTAATTCATATATTAAATTTGAATTTTGTGTATGAAATTATCTTCGTTAAGAAACTTTTTATCCTTTCTAATATATATCTAAACTCAATCGAGTTATATTATGTTTGGTATGAAGGAAAATGTTTTCCTGGAAAACAAGTAGATTTTTGACTTATTTTCTCATGTTTGGTTGGTGAGTAAAAAATATTTTCCGGAAAAGATTTTTTAGTGTTTGATTTATGAATGAAAATTATTTTTGAGAAAATATCTCTTTTTTTTACTAGAGAGTAGAAAATAATTTTCGAATTAAAATTGAAAATATTTTTTAAAAAATAAACTTAATTTTTTTTTGGGGGTGGGGGGTAGGGGTTAGATAGGGTAAAAAAATAAATATTTGAAATTAAAAATATTTTTTAAAAACAAACTTAATATTTTTTTCGGGGGTGGGGATGATTTGGGGGGGGGGGGGGGGTCGCGGGTAGGGATGCGGTGGGGTGAAAAAATAAAAATTTGAAATTGGAAATATTTTTTAAAAATAAACTTTAATTTTTTTATTTTTTTTTGGGGGGGGGGGGGGTCAGGGGGTAGGGGTGAAAAAATAAAAATTTGAAATTGAAAATATTTTTTAAAAACAAACTTTTTTTGGGGGGGTGGTAGGGGGTGGGGGTGAAAAAATAAAAATTGGAAATTGGAAATATTTTTTAAAAACAAACTTTAATTTATTTTTATTTTTTTTGGGGGGGGGGGGGGGGGGTCAAGATAGGCGGGTGGGAGTGAAAAACAAAAAATTGAAATTGAAAGATAAGGGTTTGAAAAAACCCCAACTTTGGTCGGATTTGATGTTGCGATACTAAACTTTCATAAGGACCTATTACCTCCCTAGACTATTTAATATCGTATTTTTTATCCCCTGAACTATTTAATAGTGTATTTTAAAGGTATATATGTGTCACGTGGACACATTACTATTTATATTTTTGCATTATTTTTTATGTCCATGTGGGCAAATATATATGTTTAAAATACAGTATTAAATAGTCTAGGGAGGTAATAGGTCCTCATGAAAGTTTAGTATTGCAACAGCAAATCCGACCAAAGTTGGGATATTTTTCAAACCATTATCCCTATTTTTTATAAAACAAACTTTAAATTTATTATTATTTTGGGGGGATGGGGGTGTCGAGGGTAGAGATGGGGTGAAAATAAAATTTTGAAATTGAAATATTTTTTTAAAAACAAATATTAATTTTTTATTTTTTATTTTGGGGGGGGGGGGGGGTTAGGGTGAGGGTGGGTAAAAAAAATAAAAAAATTGAAGTTGAAAAATATTTTTTAAAAATAAGTTATAAATTTAATTTTTTTAACAAAAAAATTGTAATTTGAAGTTGGATGAAAGTTTTGAAAAATGTTTTCCTTAAGTTTTGAAGGGAAGTCATTTTCTTTGAATTTGGGAAAAATGAGTTGATTTGGAAAATATTTTCCAAAATATTTTACCCAACCAAACATGAGAAAATTGAAAAACATTTTCTTCCTTCATACCAAACACACCCATAATATAAAAATAAAAAATCACATGGGAACAAAAATAAAATAAAATAGAAGACCCTCTAGGCATTGACTAATATGTCTTTAATTCATACGCAAACAATGATAAACAAACAAAAAAATTGTGGAAGAAACTTGTCTTCGTCTTTAAGTTTTGAATTTTAAAATGTGATAATTATAAGGGTTAATAATTGAGTTTTAAATTTAATATATAATAATAATAATAATAATAATAATAATAATAATAATAAAAGAAATTAGCGATAAATTGAAAATGATAGAGTGTATTTATATCTTATTTTTATTTTATAAAGATAATAGAAAATTAATTTCAAAAGATTTTTTACTTAAATATCAATGTAGATACAATATACTTAATAAATTTTTAATATAATTATACTATTTAAATAAGTTCCTTAAGTTTGAATGAATTTGTAGTAGAGCTTAATTATCATGAATTCAAATAAGTGTTCTTATTCAAAATTATTATTTATGTGTAAAATTATATAATTTTACAATTCTGAATAATTGACAGGATTTAATGTTAAATTATTTTTATATTTTACAAGAGTAAAATACACATTCACCATAGTATAGAATGATGTGCTTCACATGGGTTTGCGTGTGGCAATATAAAAATCTAATTAATAGTTGTAAAGCATTTGATCTGAACTTTCCTGTTTTCCCATTACCTTTACATATTTTATATTCCCTCTGTTTAAATTTGTTTATTCAACAAAATTTTAAGATTTTTTTTTATTTTATAGTCTTAAATTAAATTTTATGTCAATATAAAAATATTTTTAAATTTTATTATCTTAATAAACATGTCATGTGGAAAATTAAAATTAAAAAGTAGTACAAACAAACTGAAACAGATAGAGTAATACAAATACATAATTCGACTAAATTAAAACTATTGAATTTGGCTGAATTCGTAAACGAAACACTAGTTCTATCTATAATTTAGAGGTAGATCTAACATGTGATATACGAATTCACATAAACTTAATAATTTCCGTTCAAAATTTATATGTATTTTTAGAAATTCACTCAGTATTATAAATTATAATTTAAATCATAAACCCAATTATTATCATACATGCGAAAATCTTAAATCCATTTCTAATCTAAATTAGTGGAAGGCGTGGGGTGTTATTTTATTATACAAGTACTCATTAGTGTTAAATAATTTCAAAATATATATACACACATGCAAAAACAAAAGAGTGTTAAATATTTATTATATACACATAAAAAATAAATTTTAATCATAAAAATAAATATTATAATTTTCTCCGATTTTTTTTGATAAACCCTTGATCCTACCTGACTCTGGCCTGCTATTTTTTTTTTTTGGTTTCCTGAATTGCACAATGCAGAGCTCATTTGAGGGTGATGCTTCGAATAAAATTTTCTATATATCTAAAATTTCAACCCGAGACTTCTTATTACGAATGAAGCAGTCTCACCCTGCTATATTACTATATGTTATTATACCAAGGAATCTTTTCCAACTTTGTAATATAAATAGTATTACTCCATTAAAACACTAGACTCTCTTCCACTAACATTCTCCTTAGTTTTGTTTTATTTTTCTCTCTGAAGATGGCTGATTTTGGGAGAAATCTAATCAAAACTATAATACGAACTCGTAAGCTTTGATCTATTGATATTTTTTTTGATTTATATATATTATTATATGTTGATATATGTATTTTTTTTTTTATATTTGAATATTTACTTTTTTATATTTTGAATTTTTTATGTAAAAATTCTAATTTTTTCGATCTGGTGTTATGACAGTTGTTATGGCTCCGGTGTATACTACAGCAGGATATGTTGCATACAGAACTGGACGCTGGTACATTTCCTCATTTCTCTGATTTTGCTTTGTAGATCGAGAATTTTACTGGTTATATTTACAGTTTATCGAGGATATAATCTACATTTAAAAAAAAAAGATTACTAATTTTCTTTTATTACTTTCCTGATATCTTTTATTTTTATTTTTATTGTCTTTATATTTGACTATTGTTTATCTATTTTTTCACTACTGTATTTAGTTAACATATCTGATTCTTGATATACTTTTATACTTTGAGCCGATGATTTATCGAAAATATATCTCTACCTTCTCAATATAAAGAGTAAGACAACATACACATACCCTCCTCAGATTTCACTTATAAAATTTTTATTAAATATATTATTATTATTACTATTATACGTTAATTTGATTTTTATGTAATTATTATTTGTTCTATTGGTAAAATAATGATAAAAGTGACCTTATGTTGTAGGGAGTATAGATTCAAAATTGCTCTTTAAAAGAAGTTTTAGTCCTCTAAGTTTATTAGTATTAAATATTTTTAACACAAACTCTATTAGATTTTATAAAACCTGTGATTTTATTTCTTTTATTAATATAAATTATAAAAACACCAAAAAAAGTCCAGTAAAATCTTATTTTGTTGGTGCAATTTGTGTTATGGCAGGTTCTATAATCATGAGATGAGGAGACTTGCTATAGTGAGGTACAATCCATCTAAAACTTTTAAGTTATAATCATATAAACTCGTAAATTATTTATTTATTTTATAAATACACATATTCTTGCTCGACATGAAGAGAATGTCCGTATCATGTGAAAGATCTATATTAAAGAACAATTAATTACTATTATTGTTGAATTATTAGATTAATAGATCTTTATAAAATTACATTCAATTTCCTGACCTTGCATCCCTTCTAAACTATTAGATGGTGCAACTTAACTAATTGAGCCATTTCATTTAGGATGAGATAATATTTGAAAGTCAGTAATGATATTTAAGTGCAATTACTTTTATAATAAAAGGGGCATGAAAGTATGTGATTTGTTAATCTAATGGAATATTTTAATACTTTGTTTATGAATATAATTTGATTGTTTGGTAATTAAGATTGTAAGAATATGTGAAGTTTTAATAGTTTTCATTTTTCCCAAATTGTAAGGTTTTCATGATTATGAGGAAAAAAATAACTTTTGATAGTTGAATTATATGAGCAAATAAAACATCAACTTCAAATCATCTTGATTACAAAAATCATGATTTAGAATCAGAGTCAAAACAGATTCAATGAAAAAATTCAAGTAGGAAAGTTATTACAGTTCTTTAGTGAACCATATGCAACGAAAAATTCAAAACAAATATCAAATAACAGGTGACTAAAAAGCTCACTGTGGTATAAGTTTAGATTTTAGATGGACTAAATTGTGGTAGCATTATAATTCCTTTAAAATGTATTATTTGAGAATATTTAGGAGTACTTTGTACTCTCATTTTCTTTCTAACATTTATATGCATTACCATTTACCTTTTCTTTTTCTTACTTTGTTGTTGTTGTCATTGTTATTTTCATAGTTCTAAAGAGGCGCAAAGGTGGGGAGGAAAAAAGGTCAATGATCAACCACCTAAATGGCGCCCTTTCTGGCCCTGGTGATTGTTTGTTTTTAATAATATAATGTAAATCTATTTCGAGATAGATTCAAGATTTGAATTATATGGATTCGAATTCAAAATCTTATCAGAATCTAGTTGATTTATTGAGTTCAAGATCTTTAATATGTATAACGTGTTTAGTGAAATATTCGTATATATACAATATTTCAGCTAAAAATATTGAGTACAGATAAACATACATCTTGTATGCTACGTCCACCCTAAAAAGCATCATTGGCCACCCCTTTCCCAAATGAGATGTTTTCCCTACAATAAAGATTTGGAATTACTACATATTTTATTCAAGTTTTCATTATTCAATTTCAACTATATACCTTACAACTTACAATATGTATTTTTGTCCAAATATATGTGTCAATTATTGTTGTTGGCTGAAGTCTGAAACTATAGTCATCATTCATCAACAATATGCATTTTCACCTCATTTATTACCTAAAATCATAGTAAACTATATTGATGCCATGCAAACATCTGGTGCAAATAAATTTTTATCGAAAAAAACTTTTCAATCACATAAAAAAGGAAAAGTATAAATATCAATCAGGAAGAGCGAAAACCACTTAAATAGATAAATTAATTATATTTCAACATTAAATTCCACTATACATACAATTACAATAAGATTAATCCTAAAAATAAAAAAAATACAACATAATAAGAAAATTGTATCATAGGATTATACAATTACCATCTTGCTTAGTATCCTTTTTGCTAGTTGTATTCACTAGCTTTGTATTTGACTCAATTTCAATATTTGCAATTGTAGCCACATTTTGTCCAATTATTGGAGTAGTTGATTCAACCCAAACTAAACTCTCCATATAAGATGTTACATATGGAACTCCAATTCCATTGGCCCAAATTCCAAAATCCTCAAATTCTTCATTTTCATGATCATACAAAAACACATTTTTATTTATATACACAATTGCCTCAGCATCATAATCCAACACTCTCAATGGTATTATTGGCCCGGACAACTCTTCATCCATCCTTGTCACGTATAACTTCGTCCACGTTTCTTCTATACCATAATCTTTCATTAACCATACCTCGATATTCAATACACTATTATCAACTGATGAAGTTGATTTTGCACAAACCGATAACGATCCATGCAACGAGCTTATACAATTCGCTTCCTGCTCTGTAGGGTTTGGGAGCCAATATTCCTGAAACACCTCGTTCGCCACGTTGAACGAAACGATCGGCAATCTCCTCGGCCTGATTTTTCCGTATTCGCGCTGCGTAAGCCAATGGATGCACCCGTTGAAGAAAACTGTGTCCCCCCGGACATAATAATATTGTGAAGGAAAACAATCCCCAATTTTTTTCCAGGAATCGAGTTTTAAACTGTACACCTCAACTTCTGACCATTGTTTCTTTTCGTTTTTTAATCTATCGTCGATGTAAGTAATTTTTATCAATTTGTGATCACCATGACCATCGAAACCGAACCCGTAATTAGGGGCGTGTCTCTGACGTTCCGGGGAGAACTTAGAATGGGGCAGCACCCTATTTTTCCTCATTGACGGATTCCATAAATTGATTTCTTCTTTACCGTGTAAGAACTTAGTGATATAACAAATTAATCCGTTACACGAACCCAATAATTCATAGGTACATTGTTTCGTGTTTGTTACGGGGAAGCCCGGGTGAATTAGCTCATCACACGGGCCGCCCGCGTAACACCACGATCGAAGCCCCTCGTTAGGATATAATTGGTACACGATTTGGAAAAGACGCAAATGGTTGCTAACAAATTCCATTTTCTTCAAATGTGTATCGATGAAAATTGGATCGTTGATTAGAGAACGCCATGATTTACAAACTGATCGAAATCGAACGAGAGAACTCACGGGTAAATGCAATAAAATCTTGTTTATGATTTGATCCGTGTATAATGGTTTCTTCATCTTTGTCACCTTCATAAAAGATTATTTGGTTCCTCCAGATTTAACGTCTCGATAAATTAATTATTACCAATATGGTAAAAACTTTTTTGGGGGAAAAAAGAAGATTAGTTGGAATATTATGAAATTCACAAAACTAAAAAAAGATTTGTGGGGAGAATACTGGCTTTGCTTAATTTTAGCTTTCTTTTGTTGAGTTTTAAGGTAAGTTTTAAGCAAAATGTTTCTTGTTGATATTACTAATTATGTGAGGCTATGAAATTAATTTCTTGTTGTATGACAAATGTAAGGGAGACAACAATTTCAACGTTAAATTGGATAATTCATAATTATACCAACAACAAAAAAAAACTTTTGGAGGAAAGTGATCATTATTATTTAAAAAGGTGCAAAGGAATAATACGATTTAAAGTGTTTATCTTTTAATCGGATTCGAGTTGTGATAAGAGAGCGAGTAAAGAATCTTATGTCATGAGAATTTAAATTAATTAGGTTAGTAAGTTTGGATATTAAACTATTTATTTTTTTAAGAGATCTTAATATTTCTGTTCATGCTAAAAAAAATCGTCCGTCTAACCGTTCAAACCATATTCCTTTATAGTCTTCACTAATTCATAACAACAACAATAACATATTCAATGTAATTCCAAAGTAGGAATTTGAAGAAGGCAGACTATAAGTAGATCTTATCCTATCTCTCATAGAGATAGAGAGACTGTTTTAAACAATTCTTAGCTTAAATTACGCATATCAAAGCAGTTCAAAAAGGAAAAAAATAAAAATAAAAAGAACATAATGACAAAAGTTTGATTATTATACAAATCATACTGACTAAACTTTACATAAAAAATTAATATTGACATTAAAAAATTAAATATTATCCCACCACAAATGAAAATGAAGTGTGTAATGAAACAAAAGATTGGTTGGCCAACCAAATAAAATGGGATCCTATGCATTACTTTGACTTAATCCTCCCACAAAATTCTCCATTTTTCAACTACTACCACCATCACCGCCTTGACAAAAAAACAATAAAAAAAATACTAACAAAAAAAGAATGGAGAAAACTACTAAAACCAAAAAAAAATCCTTTATTATGTAAAAGTTCTTTGAGGGAAAAGGAAAAAAAAAGGTTTGGAATGAGAAATGGATACAATAAATCCATTGAAAGACCAACCTCATTCAATTCCCTTGAGGAAGTTATTGCTTTGGGCTTTGTATGCTCTTCTTCCTATAGTAACTTTTTATCACTTAATTGCCTTTCCTTTTCCTCACTCACTTTCTCAATCTAAACAATCACCAGTCATCACCACATCATCTTCAACTCCATCAAAAGGTAAGGGTATTTTTGTACTTATTTATGTTTTTCAGATTTATACATGAGATATCTATTAGTTGAAAATATGTTTTAATAATCGTGTTGGCATTTTTACGATAGATCATATGCTTTGATGAGTCATTTAGACTTTTAAAGATTTATACGTGTGAAAAATATAGAGGATGAATTTGAGATCCTAAGCTTTCTAGGAGTCGTTTACCCTTTCAAAGATTTATACGTGTAGAAAATATAGAGAACTATTAGTACTTTTATTTGTATATTATAATATCAGTTTGAGATAAGTTCAAATAGAGTAACATGATCAATGAAGATTCATATAATCGATCCCAACTTATTTGGAATTGAGGCATAGTTATTGTTGCATATGCCGTGTTAGAGCTAAAAGGAGTCAAAAAGGTTCAATTATCATCGGAAAATTATACTGCGGTAAAAATATTTTTTGTTTATATATGAACCATATTTAATCCTCTTGACATAAAGGGAGTTCAAAATTGCTTTAGGTCATGAGTTTAAATCGTAGGTTTGACACTCCTATTATTTTTTTGAATCTCGTATGGTATGAATTTCTGATTTCGATACTATATATATGATTTCCCATATTTGCATGCACTTTTATTGATAATCATCAAAACCTCATTCTTTTTGTGCAGAAATAGGAAATGCTAGTGTAGAAATTTCATGTGACTATAGCAATGGCAATTGGATTCAAGACAAATTAGGCCCTTTATACACAAAATGCAACACTATCAAAGAGGGCCAAAATTGTATAACACATGGTAGACTTGATAATGACTATCTTTATTGGAGATGGAAGCCAAATAATTGTCAACTTCCAAGATTTGATCCAAAAAAATTTCTTCAACTCTTCAAAAACAAGAATTTAGCATTTGTTGGTGATTCACTAGCTAGAAATCAATTGGAATCATTACTTTGTATGTTATCCACTTTTAGTCCTCATGACTTAGTTTTTAGTCATGGTGAGGAAAATAAGTTTAGGAAATGGCATTTTCCTTCACATAATGTTAATATATCAATTTATTGGTCACCTTTTCTAGTTAAAGGGGTTGAAAAATCAGACAAGACATATTATAATACTTTGTACTTGGACTCTGTTGATGAGAAATGGGCTAAAGATTTAGGACAAATGGATTTGGTTGTGTTTTCAATTGGACATTGGTATTTGCTTTCAGCAATTTATTTTTATGGTGACAAAGTACTAGGTTGTCATTCTTGTCCTGGTTTGAATTACACTGAGGTTGGATTTTATGATGTTTATGGTAAGGCATTTGAGACAACTTTTAAGACAATTCTTGATAGGAGGGGTGGTGGCAAAGACAAACTTGATGTGATTGTGACAACATTTTCACCAGCACATTTTGAAGGTGAATGGGATAAATATGGGGCATGTTCTAAGACAAAGCCTTATGATGCTAAGGAGAAGGAGAAACTTGAATGGATGGACGCGGAGATGAGGGAAACATCCATTAAACAAGTGAGTATTGCCAAAAAGGAAGGTCATGATGAGAAGAATGTGGTGAGGTTTGAGGCAGTGGATGTGACTAAGTTGGCATATTTGAGACCTGATGGTCATCCTGGACCTTATATGCATCCTTTTCCATTTGCTAATGGGATTCAAGAACGCGTTCAGAATGATTGTGTTCATTGGTGTTTGCCAGGGCCTATTGATACATGGAATGAGATTTTGATGCAAGTCATGATCAAGAAAATGGACAAGCTAAGATAGTTTAGTGAAGAAAGTTTTTACTTTTACTAGTCACTATATGTATGTTGATTTTTCCAGATTCTTGTCCATTGAGTAATTTTTTTTGTTTCCCTTGGAGAGCCAAAGAAAGGAATTCAGATTTGTGTCACTTAGGAGAAACGCACGCTATCAGACTTCTGGTTCAGAGTTGAGAGATCTCCTCTCATCCATTCCACTACATCCGTGTGATTTTTTTATTACTTGGATAGAATAATGTGAAAGAATTGAATAGAAGATTTAGATTTTGAAGAAATGTAGAATCTAGAGATTTGTTTTATGTATTATGATTTTCTTGAAAAGGAGTCTCAAATTTGCAACTCATTCATGTCATTGTAACACTATTAGTTGGTCACATTTTAACACCATGATGTTAAAGTTGTGCATTATTGTTTGCTTTAAAGATTCTGAATATCATGTTGTTAAACAAGTGAGTTACAATAAATTGCAGCTCAAGGAAGGAACTAGGAACCCATCGGAAAATTATATTGTATATTCAAGAGTCATACTATGACTTCTTTTTTTAAAAAAATTAATAAAATAAAATTGAATCCCTTTGGTGAATTTTTTGACTATGTTAGTACTCAACCTCTAATCTTGTCACAAGTGGGATGGATCATTAGTTCTACTTTTTTACCACAAAAATTCGATCAAGTATTTTGACATGAATTGAAGAGTCAGAAGGACTAGCTAAATAGTTCTATTAGTTGATGATCATGCAACAATGTTAGTCGGAATTGTAGCACATCACACCACTTAAGACTATATTGTTTTCTAATAAGTCGGAATTGTAGCACATCTCCTCTTCTTCCTAATTATTTTATTTGTATTCATGTACTTTAATGATTGTCATGTCAAATTTTAAATAAAAATTTAAAATATTTTAAATTATCAGATCAATTTGATATTAATTAAATTTCAGATAAAAATATCAAAACTTCGATATTATCTCACTAAACTTCATATAAAAAATACGAAATTTGCTTGCTTTCAAACTTATGTGAAGTTAGACTTTAACAATTCAAACTTTAGATATGTATATATTATAAATAACTTCAGTCTTAGTCTGAGACGTGTGAAAAGTTCATTTAAAGCAGCTAAAATTGTAACTTTGGCTATGCCTTAAATACATCCTAAAAGTGGCTATTTCTGCACTTCACCCCCATAAAAAATCCTCTTTTTTCTACAAACGCTCTTCGCACTTTGTTCTTCATTTTGCGGTTCAAGATTTGGCGCAATTTCATCAACTAATTGAATGTATGTCATTTTCATTTCTGTATATATATATATTAAACACAACAATTTTGAATTAAATTACCCATTTTTTGTTTTTTTTTTTCAAAATTAGGGTTCTAATATTGGTGTAGCATTTTGATTTTTCTGCATTTTAATGTTATTGAAGCTTCTATTCTTTGATTTTATCATCTCTTTATGCAGCGGAGATTCTTGATTTGTCTGGGAACACAGTAGGAGGAATTAATTTAGCTATTTTTACTCGAAAGGTTGGATTTTTAAAGCAAAAGGGAAGAAGAATCCAGTGTAACATTGCTGAGTATGTTAGTCTTGAGCTGGAATTAAGGTATTTTACTTTTTTGTTCCATAATAAGTGTCTCCAAAGTAAATAATTTAGTAACTGTGACTGGCCTTCTTCGGAGTTTAGTGTATGGGGCTGCCCTTTTTGCATTCTTGCTTTGGTAATGTTTCTTTTGAATCGAGGGTCTATGAGAAACAGCATCTCTGCCTCACAAATACTAAGACAGTGGTAAAGTTTGCGTACATCCTACCCTCCTCCGTCTCACTTGTCGGATTACATGACGTTTGTTGTTGTTGACTTGTTGTTGTTGTTATGCTGCTCAACAATGGGGAGAGAAAGAAATCTCCCTCCGTTTCAATTGGTTTGTCTGATATTGACTTGACACGGAGTTTAAGAAATTAATTTAGCTTTTTACTCAAAGTTTGGATTTTTTGAGTCAAAAAAGAAGAAGAATCCAGTGTACCGCTCTTGAGTGTCCAAGTTTCGAGCTGGAATTATGGTGTTTTGCTTTTTGTTCCATAATAAGTGGCTCCAAAGTAAATAATTTACAATAGATCCTTGTGATCAGCCCTTCCCTCGAGCTTTAGTGCACTAGGCTGCCCTCTTTGCATTCTTGCTTTGATAACATTTCTTTTGAATTGAAGGTCTATGGGAAACTACATCTCTACCCCACAAAGGTAGGGGTAAAGTTTGCCTATATCCTACCCTCCCCACACTCACTTGTGGGATACTGGGATTACAGTGGGTTTGTTGTTGTTGATATGCTCAACAATGGGAAGAAAAGGAATACTCTTTCCGTTTTAATTTGTTTTATCTGATTTTGACTTTGATATGGAGTTTAAAAAATATAGAAGACTTTTGAATCTTATGGTCTTAAGCTAAAGATATGTAGATGTACCAAAAATTCCCTTTAATCTTGTTATTTTGAACATGTCATGTGGAAGGGTAGAATTAAGGAGTTGCTAAAAAAGGAAAGAGGCATTCTTTTTGAAATGGACTAAAAGGGAAAGTAAGATAAACAAATTGAAATGGAGGGAGTATATTGTTTAAAAATAGAGCAGAATATGGAGTTGTTATTGGCTGTGTTTGGTATCAGCATGATGGAAGTCATTTTCCATAATAATTGATTTTTCTAGTGTCTGGTTACCAGAAAATGTTTTTCTTCAAAAGGGGAAATGATTTCCCTGGTAAAAAGTGTTTTCCGTACAACTAACTTAACTTTTAGCTTCATGTTTCTTGATCCAACTAATACATGTTTCGTGTTAGAATATTTGGGGAAGTTATGTATATACATGCATGCATGGTTCATTTGAGTTAAAAAATTAAAGAAAGCTTTTTAGTGTTTTCTTACTTTTTAGTTTTACAGGAATGCGTCAGGCCTGAGGGAAGTCCCATGTAATGAATAGCTTGTTTCATGCATGTTCTGTTGCAATATTGACAAGCACTACATATCTGCCTTGAAGAGTTCAATTTGTCGAATTCTGGTGATATCTTGGAGGATGAGCTTTTGCACATGCTTGAATTAGAAAGTTGATTTTGACTTGTTTCTGGATAGAATTAGCATCTAACAAGTGTAGTGGTGATAGTTCTCTTTCACGGAAGTTTGATCCCATTCCAATAATGAAGGAAGAGAGAGATGGTTTCTTTGTTGTTAAGAAAGGAGATATTGTTGGAGTCTACAGAAACTTGGGTGACTGCCAGACTCAAGTCGGATCCTCGGTAACTATTGGAGGAATTTTAATCTGCATTTATATTATATAATGTGTGTATATATATACAAAGCTAGATATATGTATGTTGTTTGTGTATTGATATGGTATCAACTGTGACTTTTTTCACTTTTTCCCCTTGGTGGCTTGTACTCCCAATCCATTGGTTGGCACTGGAGTGCTCTTTCCACTGGATAAACTTCACTTGTCAACTTGTAGTCAATATATATATATTATAGGCGAATGCTACACCACATTTATCTTATCTGGTCTTTTCCTCGTGAATTTATGCAGATGTAGTTGCACTGCAAGAACTTCATAAAAAAAGTTAGACCATATTTATTTGCTACAGCTTCATTTACATAGGTCAACAGGAACCTGGTGCCTAATTTATCTGCAGATGTCAGCATTTCCTTGATGCTTTCCTTGTATGAATAAAATTATTTTTCAAAAGGAATAATATTTATTACAGCTTCAACTTGGTTTTTCTTAATCAATGATAAAGTTATAGTGGTGTAGGAATTCCTCTTACAGAATAGGGGTGGTAAAGGCAGTTCTGTTATCTGTGTCCAGCAATGATTATATAGCAATGTGCATGAAATGGGAAATATATCAAACTTGCAGTGCGTTAATCGGTTCCCCCTGCCCCTTGCTTTGACAGATATGTGATCCTCCGGTTAGTGTGTATAAAGGCTACTCCATGCCAAAGGACACGGAGGAATATCTTCTATCTTGTGGACTTAAAAATGCACTTTATTCTATCAGAGCCGCAGATCTGACTGAAAGTCTCTTTGGGGCTCTAGTACCATGCCCTTTTCAGGTAAAACATTGTACTAAATTGTGTGCAAAATTGTCTGTTTGTCTTTTATAATTGAAGTATGTCATCTCAGAACTTTTGGAAGAAGGCAATCCTTGTTCACATCAGCTTTCTTTTCCAGGAGACACACAGGACTTCCAAAAATAAGAAAAGGAACAAAGGATAGAGTTAAAATTTGTCCTTCTGACATAAATTTTGACTTATTGATCATGTTGTGAGTTTGATGCAAGACTATTTGAACATGTGGGTTCCTTTCTAGCACTACTTAATTACTAATAACTCTCCCTTCCACTTATTATACAGTTCACACTACCCAAGAAAGAATCCTAAACTAGGGGTAAAACCAAAAGTGAAATAATAGAATTCGGATGTATTGATTACAATTCATCTTTGGAAGTAAAGCCATGATATCCCCATCTGATTTTGTTGCGTAAAGAAAAAAGTTAAAGTTGAGCTCTTGATGTCATTAGCAGAATTTGCAGAGTCCTGCCATGGTGTTTGCGTTGGGAGAATATTTTTTAACTTTAAAACTCGACTTCTGCCTTTATGATATGGAAGGGATGAAGACTTATTACCTCGGTCCTCACAGTTCCCTAATTAAGGAAAAGATTACAAATTTTGTGCTGATCCCTTACCATATGAACAAATGATAAAAAGGAGAAAGTGTGCTTTAAATTACATTATACATGGGACAGATACCACATAGCTGTTCTTCTACATATCAATATTATCAAAGATGATCTCTATTTTTGCTGAAATGTTTTGCTCTTTTCTATTTTTGGTGTAAACATGAATATCCTCATGAAGATGAGGATATCACTGGTATGTTAGAATCCTTAAGGAGTTCATAGGAAAATAGCAACACTTTTGTATTTCTGATTGTAAGTATTACTGGAATACATCCTGAGTATTCCTGTGTTTATAATACAAGTTACCTTTTCAAAAAAAAAAAGATGATCTCTAAATGCAGCTGATCCAGTTATTTATTTTGTACTAAATTAAGTTAAGTTTCCTACTTATTGATGTGAATACTCTTGTTATCAGTAGTACTTGTAAAAATTGCTGAAAGTTGCTTACGTCTCATCTTTTGAACCAGTCATTGTCATACAATTTTATCAGCACTAAATTTTTGCAGCATCAATCTTCTTCCAAAGGTGGAGCGTCTGAGCATACGCCGAAGAAGAGGTCTCAGGAAGCAATGTGGTCAGAATATGCGGTAAGTTAGGGTTATATTAGGTTATTGTGTAAGTCGGTCAGCGTTTACAGCAGTTGCTTTTGAAGTATATCTTGTTTCTTGTTCTACAGAGAGAGCTAACTAATGTGCCTACAGTTTTTGGTTATCTTACGAAGTGAGTACATTCTTCAATTTGCACCTCTCTGGATATAGAAGCATGATTATAACAGTAGGGGCTTGTTTGCTGAATTTTCCTTAAGATGCCATAGTAAATGGTCTTACAACTTACATGAGAAAGCTACTTATTCAGCTGGAAGGCAATTTCCTTTCCTAAAGTAGATCTACTTGGAATTTGAAGACTGGATACTTATCCATTGTGAGCGAAATATCAGTATTTTTCTATTATGTCTGAGTAGCCCTTTTTGAAGAAATGATTATGTAAGGAGGTTGAAAGTCTCCAATACGGTACCTGTTAATGAGCTAAATCTGTTTAAACGGAATACTAGTAGCTTGTTAATAGGTTTCTACAGCTGTTTTTAGAAATATCTGGATATAGCAGTAGCAGAAGTTGTTGTTGACAAGTCTCCGCAGCTATTGTAGTTGTGTATAAATAAAACTAAAACTAAGAATAGGTCAGAGTGGGCCATGTATAAGAACAGTAGTGAGTAGATTGTTGACATGTTTCCGTAGTTTTGTGCTTTTCTTTGGCTCTAAATGATACCTTATGGTGCTGGCTGCTTACAAAATATTGAAAATAGAAGTAGTATTTTAAAAATAGGTCATGCCGGGTGGCTTATAAGAAAAGTAGCTTGCCAGCAAGTTCTTGCAGCTGTTGTTATCTTTGCTTTTCTCTACTTAATAAAAACTCATGTAAGGTATTGGACTTTATAAGATTGAACTTCATAACAAAGGATTATATAGTTCTGAGAATCTATTCAAGGAGCCACATCCTAGTAAATGTAGCAAGAGATCTGAAAATACTATTTCTAGTAAAAGGTGTCTTTCCCTGTTACAGATTGCAATAGTTCTTCTGATTAAGAAGATTCCAGTAAGTTACCCTTCGGGGTGGCTCAGTGGTTTGGGCTTGGGACTTCCTTGTTGGAGGTCTCAAGTTTGAAACCCCTTGCCAGCGAAAGCAAGAGGTTTGCCTTCTGGGTCGAGCTCGTCGCACCGGGCTTGCCTAGTGCGGGTTACCTCTCCTATGTGGTTTGCGAGCTATTGCATAGGAGCGGGGGTTTTACCCTGTACGCACCCAAAGGGTAGTGGCTACGGGTTTCCCTTGTCATCAAAAAAAAAAAAAAAAAAAAAAGATTCCAGTAAGTTATTGTGATGAAAAACATTTATAATGTGGAAGGAACAGCAAACAATAGATATCAGTATCCTTCCTGTCTAGAATTTTTTTCTCTCAGCGAAAATTGACAAACAATATATTTGTCGTCTAGTTTATTACATGTGACCTGTGTATCAAGTATTTTCATTAGATGACAGGATGATCCCAGTTTACCACGTCTGTGTTTTGATAAAGAAGAAAGAATGGTGGAAATGGAAAAAGAAAAAATGTTTCTGACTGAAATTTCCCTAATTGACTAACAGTTTCAATGGCACTCTCAAATATGGATAAAAAATTCCCTATTACTATTCTGATGTTGGTAATAAATATAATTAAGAGCTATAATCTTCAACTTCTGCGACTGCGGGCTAGGCTTAATAGCAAGATAGGAAACCTTTTTTCCCGAACCGTTGCATGGGATGACTTTTCGGGAGTGCTGAGTAGTTTAAATGAACCAGATGGATAACCTTTATCTTCTCTTTGATCGAGCTGAGGTCTGGATAATTAGCTGAGTAATTACTGTGCTTGCCTTAGCTCTGACGAAAGACTTCCTGTTTTCTGCAAAGTTTGCATTGAGCATTAAAGGGGAACTAATACCACCTATTGGTTGATCGAAGACATATTTAGGTTAATTAAGTGTTACAATTTGATGAGTTCTGACATCTTTTTGTGCGCAAAGTAGGTATAGTTGCGATTGTCAAACCATATTCTTTGCAATATTTTGTTGCTGTACTGCATTCTTCTACCTGGCTCTTGGAGAGGTATATAATGTAAATTTGGGCTCAAAGTAGTACTGAATACTTACACTTACGAAAAAAGTACTAGTTACAAAATGCTATACTAGTTTCTTTTGTTCACACCTATACGATCTATTTGGCTTGCCACACTTTGGAATATATCTTGTTCATTGGCATGTTAATTTGCAGGATGCTGTTGGATCAGCTGTTACTTCAAATGATTCCCTAAGAAAGCATATCAAGTTAGAACCTCCTAAGGGTGACCAGCAAGCTCTATCATCCAGTGTGAGTGGCTGTTAAAACGATGGCTTCTTATGAAAAAAACATAAATGATTTCAGTATATATGATTAAAAAGTAAATTGTCTTTATACTTAATGGGAAGTCGGCGAAGCTAATCAATCTTAATTTAGCGAATCTATGATGAACTTACGGCAACTATCAGGTTGAGTTCTTTTAAATTCTCTTAAAGGTTTATGCTGTTGGAATGAAGGAAGCTGATCGTGGTTATCCTCAGCAGCGGTCTTGTACTCTTGAATTTGATGGTACTTCAAAAGGAAACCCAGGACAAGCTGGTGCAGGAGCTGTAGTACGAGCTGACGATGGAAGTTTGGTAATAATTACTATTTTGGGTTTGTATTTCCTTTTCCTTGTTCTTTGCTGCACTTATATGACAACTTTGCGATTAATAGATCTGTAGGCTGCGTGAAGGTTTAGGAATAGCAACAACCAGTGTTGCTGAATATCGAGGTTTTATCTTGGGTTTGAAATATGCACATAGCAAAGGGTTTACAAGTATTCGTGCTCAGGGTGACTCTAAACTTGTTTGTATGCAGGTTCGTTTCCCATATTATTTGTTTGTTGTTCTATTTTTTTTTAATTTCTTGATATCACACTTCTCCTTTATGTCTCTGCACAATCAATGTTGTACCTGGAGTTGTGTACTTCTAGCAAAGTTTTACTTGTTCTTTTCAACTTCACCTAGATGAATAGGATCGTTATTTGCATATTTTTTTAAGGTCAAGGAGGTCTGACAATCTTTTCAAGTTGTGAACCCATTTCTCAAGTCCCTTCGACGTAGTTTCTTTGTTTTATAGGATAAAACTTTTTTGTGATGTACACGACCTTTCTAGGATAAGGTAGTAACAAACTAAAAATTAAATTTGTTTTAGAAGGTAACAATCTTATTATCTTTAATCCACAACGGCTGTGCCCATAGATATATTTACATACCACAAGAGCAAAGTATATCCTCAATTCTTTCAAGGAATCTATTGTGTCTAACAGTAGATCCAAATCATCCGGAATTCTTCTTTACACCAAAAATGAAGTGAACAATTTTTCTTGATTTTCTGAGGAGTAACAATTAATTTGCAATCCAACTAAAGTTTCTCGGCTGAAAGAGAGTGTAAGTTCGGTAAGTTTAATAATGGGTAAATCATATAACTAAGCTCGTCAAAGAGTCCCTATCTTTTCCTTCTCTTGGGTAAAGATAGAGAAGGAAAAGGTAGAGGACAGCAAATAGTTCTTGTCCATGCAAGAAGATTTTCTTGGTTGGAAATATAATCAGCATACATTTGGTCGCTCAATGAACTCAGTAGTGTCTTTGACGAGCTTAGTTATAACTCCAAGATGCTTTATCACAGCTTCTAAAGTTGGTCTCATGACATTACTTACCTGTTCCAAAGAAATTGGTCTCATGTCAAGTTGATTGAGCTTATTTTATGTTGTTTTCTTATTTTCTTTTTTTCTTTATCTGATTGATTTTGATTCATGAAGTGTATCCTTCCAAACAGATCCAGGGTCTATGGAAAGTTAAAAATCAAAACATCTCTACGCTATTTCAGCAGGCAAAACAACTGAAGGATAGGTTTTTTTCTTTCCGCATCATTCATGTTCTTCGGGTAATTTAATAAATCTCCTCTACACCTACACTCTTGATTCATATGCTTGTCTCACTTTATTAATCAGACTTAGTAGGTGTTTGGACATGCTATTTGGAATCATGATTCCAAATCAGTATTTGGACATGCGGTTTAGAATCATGATTTCAAATCATGTCCATACGGTGCCTCTGGTCTGTAATAGCACCAAAATTGAATTAGTTAGAGCCCTTTACCTAGTTCTTACCTTGCTGATTTTCGGAGATGTAAAAGTTTTCCAACTCTCGTCTTCATAGGAATCAAACTGTGATGCAGATCAGCAGGCGAACTTGGCTATTGAACTTCCCGGTTAGAGTTTAGTTTTTATTCCAGGCATGTGGTTTGGTTATATTTGACTTGTCATCAATGTTTTATCCTACTTCATCTCTTACTGCAGATGGTCATGTCCAGGAGGAGATAGAGAAATGACAAACGGGGATGTAGACGACGACTCTAAACGTGGTGCTAACGAAGATTTCATCGTGCTAACCACCGAGCATCCCGTTTGGCCTGTAAGTCGGTGGATAGTACAATATGTTTTACCTGAAACTCGAAGACCGATGAGGGAACTGATTGATGCAAATCGTATTGAGCTATGGCACGATAATTTATTTAACTTGTATTATTAGTAACACAATATGCGTGTAACAACAAATTTCATGCTTCTTTTGACAGATTGTAATAATTTTTAGTACGATGAGTATTATTACTTTACTTTACTTTTTTTTTTTTTTGGTTTCCCACCCAGTGTTCGGAGCCCACATTGGAGCTCTCACTAAATTCGAATTGCGCTCTGCAGGGCCCATTTGGGGGTGGCGCTCCCAACAGGATTTTCTCCATACCCAGGGCTCGAACTCGAGACCTCTGGTTAAGGGTGAAACTCTCACTAGTGCACCACAACCCATGTTGGTTACTTTACTTTACTACTATATAGAAGCGGCTAGAAGCAAATATCTATTTGTCGACGTGTGTGCTCTATTTCTGGAAATTCATTTTTCTCTTTCTTTCAATTTATTATACTTTTGTTCTGCTATATATTTGAAAATTACGTAAAAAGTATGATAAATTATTATGAAGTCAAAATGAGGGGAAAAAAATAGATTGTTACACAAATGAAACTTTTTATTGTTATTTAGTGATGAAGTTAATCTTGACGAACTCAAATCAATGTCTGAAGTTTTATATGATCGAAATTCAGATACATAAGTTGAAGGTCACTTCAGTTGTATTATGTTTTGCTTGAATTTCGGCTTAACTACTATTTCGAAGCTCCCATATGACTGAAAATCACGCAAAAATGACTGAAGTTTCAACTATTTTTGTCTGAACTTCTAAGCAAAAATGCACAGAGATGTGTTCCGACCCGAATCCATACCCGACCCGGAAACACGTCGGGTAACAGTTACATGTTGTTACAATACATATCACATATATATATAGTGGCGTACGTATTTATCGTTTCTTCTAATTTGCGAAGTTGCAATGAACTGCGTCACTGCTCCCAAGGCGAATTGGCGATGTTCGCCGGCGATTTCCTTCTACTCCGATTCCACTAAATACTACAATCGGAGCAGCATCCGCTTCTATCCCGGAAACCGGAAGTTCAGCAGAATCAGATGCGACTTGAAAGATACCGGCAGCAGCAGCAGCAACAGCAACAATCAGCCGGAAACAAGTACTGGAATCCAGTTATATAGAGATATTGAGAGGTCTGTTGCCCTAATCGCTCGATTACCTACTAGTCGATATTTCTAGTAATTTTTGCGGAACTTAGATTATCCCGACTTTGTGAAATCAAGTGGTTTGATTGAATGTGCTGCCTTTTCTTTTTCTGTGACTGCTTGGTGTAACTTGTCTTCTATCGAGCAAAATTAACATGTTCAATTCCCTGCAAGACAAAGCAATAGGTGATATCTTTTCATTTGTTCTAGTCTTAGTCGACAGAGTTACATATATTATTGGTGGAAGGTAGCAAGTATGAAGTATTGTGTGGAATTAGTCAAGTGCGTTATAAAAAAATGATTAACATGCAAAGTACTCCCTCTGTTCCACTTTATGTGGTATGATTCAGAGATCTGAATTCTGAAATTACCTAATTTTCGGTGTGAATTTGACTTAAAATATTCAATTTTTTTGAAATAAGATCTAAACATTATCTTGATTATTTTGATCAATACTTGTCACCTCCCACCAAGGTAAATGTATCCACCAAGGCTAGGACATGTGGGAAGAAGTCACCTAGTGTTTTTGTCTTCGTAGATATTTGAACTCAACCTCATGGTTCTCGTCCACTTCATTGACCACTAGGTCACACCCTTGAGTTCATAAGATCTACATAATTAGAAACAACTGAAAGAGTAGTTGACTAAAAGTTAACAATTAAAAGTATTTAAAAAAATTGTGGTGATAGAAGGTGGAACAGAGGCAATATTTGTAGTTAAATGGAATGAGTCGCTATACCAAAAGACTGCTGCTCTTTTTTCTTTTTTGTTTTAAAAAAATGAATCATATAACGATGACAAACTTCAAGTTGGATAAAAAAGAATGTCGATAAATATAGTTTGCGACATATTCTTCCTCCTCCATCTCTCTGTCCCTAATATGATTCATATAACGATAATAAAAAAATGAGTCATATAACGACGACAAACTTCAAATTGGAAAAGAATGTCGATAAATATAGTTTGCGACATATTCTTCCTCTTCCATCTCTCTGTCCCTAATATGATTCATATAATGATAATAAAAAAATGAATCATATAACGACGACAAACTTCAAATTGGAAAAGAATGTCGCTAAATATAGTTTGCGACATATTCTTCCTCTTCCATCTCTCTGTCCCTAATAAGCAGCACAAATACATTATAATTGAGCTGTGCAAAGTGAGCTCGACAGCTTATAGATTAGCCATAGGTTCCTCCTTGTGCCTAAGGTAGTTGCGCAGTAGGACTAAAAGCATTGACACAAAACCCAGGACAGCCCCCATAAATTGTCTTTTGAAGCAAGAATAACTGTTAAGAGGTAAGAATCAGAACAAGAAAGAAGACAAAAAAAGGAATTGTACATGCCAAAGTTGGCATTTCAAGGAAAGGTGACACTTTGAATATAATCTCACTCTTAATGAACCTTATGTCTTCTACACGTTGACTTACTATCAAGGCTCTTAACCCTTTTTATGGATCAGTTGTGTGTGCTATTATCTGTTTGTTCCATAAAATAAAATAAAAAATACCTTTAACACTTCCAATGATGGCCCTACAGCAAGAAAAATAAATTGAAAGCAGTGCTACAATTATGTAAACTGTTGTTAGCAACTATATTTTGTATGTGTACGCACAAACTGATGGACGCATGCACTTGGATATGTATATAATTGGAATCTTGATGATGAATGTGGGAAACTGTTGAACTTACTTTTTTAGCTAATCAGAAGATGAAAATTCATTGGTATGAATTGTTGTGTTTGTCTAACCTAATCTATCCATAATGTCAATTATACACGGCCATATATGATTGTGAATTTGGAGTACTAATCAGATGATTGGTGATTCTTGCTTAGCGTTGTCAGTTAAACAGTGTCTTTTTTCGCTCATCAAACCTAAAAAGTAACTACTGATCATGTTTATTCACAGATTACTTACAGAGACAGTGAAGCAATCTCAAGATTGGGGAAGCTCACAGGACTGGGATGAAATTGAGGTTACTAAAGGAATTCCCTAAAAATATGCTTTAGTTTCAGAAGAATTGAATCAAGAAACTTCTTTCCTTTTGTGTAAATTTACAAGTGTGTATTGATATGCAACTTGCTTCCTTTATCTCTTACCCCAATTTTGCGTTACTTAAACCATTTTTGGGTTGTAACCTTTAAACAACTTCTCTGTCTTCCAAATAAGCTTAAAGACAAAAAAGAAGTATCTAGTTTGAGAGGGCACAAAATTACTGTTAAGTTTGAAGGAATCGGTCATTATGCAACTTGCTTCGTAAGCATAATGTTGGATCAATGTATGTTTTGCCATTATAATGTATGTCTGGAATGGACGTTTATATGATACAATCTCAACTGTGACATGACAGTAAATAAGACAGTAGGTCGCTTATGAAGGAGAACAAGGACGGTGGCCCACATATCCATGTCCTATATACATGTTGAAATACTTTGATGAATTATAAATGAAATAAACTCACTGTGCTATTACAGGGAGCATGGGTATTGCAACCAAAAACCTCAAAGCCGAAGTTAGTCGTACATTTTGTTGGAGGTGTTTTTGTAGGGGCTGCTCCGCAGCTTTCTTACCGCCTGTTCCTTGAGCGGCTCAGACAGAAGTGAGTTGTTTGATCTTGATGCTAGAGTCCATCTTATTCTATCTATGTTAATTATGTGCTTATTATTTGAAAGCAGCATCTCTTCTTTATTATATTTGTGATGTATACACACCTTAAAATCATTCTGAATTATAGTTAGTTTTTCTCTCTTTTTCGCATTATTGATAAGCAGGATAAGAAAAGTAGAAGACTTTAACTTATTACTGCACCAATGGGGTGACGGTACTATAAATTTCTTCCATTCTCTCTTTCGCTGTATATAAAGCTTGAAGGTTGACCTCTCAGATTTTCAGTAAGCAAGAGAAGTGATCCTATTTTTAAATAGTATCTTGCTAGATGATTCAGTAACAATCATTCACTTTCTCGTAGAAGTGCACCGAACTTTATCCGGTGCTTTACCAACTGAAGGCATGTTTTACTTCAGTAGTTGGTTTAAGAGATCTCCAACTGTTTAATCAGACTTGTGCAAAATGTTTAATCATACTTTCGAAGCAAAGATATTTATGCTATTGGCTGTATTAGCCTACCTGATGTCCATTCCAGCAGTGTCATTTTATAGCCCATGTCAGCCCCTATTGTAAGTTAAATGGTCATGTTTTACTTGAGTAGTTTGGTAAAGGGATTTCCAACTGTTTTATCGGACTTTAAGAAGCTAAAATTCTTATGCTATTAGTTGTATTAGATTACCTGATACCCATTCCAGCAGTATTATTTTATAAACTAGTATGCTAATATACCTGATGATGGTAGCTATAATCCTTGTCCTGTTCTTGTCTCATCTGTTAAGTGGGGTAAATATAGTGCTTAGTCTTATTAACATTGTGAGACAGGGATATGTTGGTGTTGCAACAACTTACTTTTATTACATTCTGAGACAGGGATGTCTTGGTGATTGCTACACCTTATGCTAGTGGATTTGACCATTTCTACATTGCAGATGAAGTGCAGTTTAAGTTTGATAGGTGCCTTAGATTTCTCCAAGAAAGAGTGAGTTTCAGCTTTTACCTAAGATGAGACTGTTTTATCATGCTTTGTTTCTTATGAATGTCCATTGGTGACATAGGTACAAGACCTTCCTGTATTTGGCATTGGGCACTCTTTAGGATCTGTAATTCACCTTTTGATTGGTAAGTTACTGTATCTCGGTAATATTTTTTACATAGAGGTAAATTTGGTCAACTTGGTCCACAACGTTTGATGCTTGATGATCAGGAGCTAGATATGCTGTGAAAAGAAACGGGAATGTATTGATGGCTTTCAACAACAAGGTACTTGATGGATTTATTTTCAGCTTTATCCTGAACTCGTACAACTTCAAAATCAGTTTTAGGAATGCAAAGACAGACACAAATGGAACTGACGCATACAGGCTTTATTTCCCATATTTTGCTTTCATTTGTCTGTCTTTTTTTTCTTTTTTCGTTACTTTTTTTGGATGGTGGGACAGGGTAGGGGCTGCAAGCAACTGTATCAAATTAGATTCAGCTTCATAAGCTCAGGGTGGTCAAGTTGCTGCATGTTCATGGGTGATATGGGATCATTGTATGTCTTTCCAGAATTGCAGGAACAATCTGTACCAGTCTGAATTAATTTCTTCTGTGACACCTTTTATATTAACTTCTAGCTTTATGACTAAACCTAGGTATAGCATCTTAAAATGTGTGGCTTATCCTCAACCCTGTTACAATTCTAGTTTCATCTGGCCTGAGCTAAATGAGGCTTCTTTAGAGTTCGTTATGCTTCAGTTACATTGAGTGGCAGAGTTAGAAGTTTATGTGTAATTTGCTTTTAGGCAACTTATCATATAAAGGGTAAATATTTTGCACTCTCTCTTGTTTGAATGGTGGAAACTTGTCCTTAGTTTGAACTTCTAAAGTCCAAGTCTTATACAACAACATCTATGCCTTAGTCCCAAATAAGTTGGGGTCATCTATATGAATCCTCACTGAGTGAGCGTGTTCCCCATTTAAATTCTAAAACTTGTAGGAAAAGGAAAATAGAAAATTTTGATGGACCTAGCTATGAAAATATTGCAAATTGGTTGAATCAAAGTTTCTGCTTTTATTGGTTTTCATTTGTGGAGAACCATATTTTGGTGTAGGTTCTGTTTTTTTTTTATATACGGCTTGTTATACGAGGATCTCCCCATCATTAATAAAATTGTTTACCTTATAAAAAGAATCCAAATTACTGTTTTTATAGTCATCCTGTAGATGTTCATGCAAGTAAAAAACAGTAATATGTGTACATGTTTTAGGTCTGCTCCTGTTAGACCACTAGGAGTTTGAGTTTCTGGACATTTTAATGTGCACAATAATATATGTGTGCTGAAGCCCTGCGGCCTGGGTAATCTATCACCATCTTAGCATATAATAATTGGAACTCTTAACAAGTTTCCTATTACTTTCTTTTCCCAGGATGCCAGCCTTGCAGTGCCGTTGTTCTCGTCTGTTCTTGTTCCAATGATGCAAAACTTTGGACCAGTTTTATCACAGATCGCATCATCACCAACCATTCGTCTTGGGGTAAGTAGCTTAATTCACCAACTACCCAGCTTCTGTTCAATGTTCTTGTTAGATGACTTTCACATGTGACATTATAGATGTTTTTTCCTGGATGAACGGGTTGGATCGAGACCATTTTTGAGTCATCAGATGGATGGATGCCAAGACTAGTAAAATTGCCTCTACATAATTGTGTCATGTGTAATTGCTCAAACACAAACAATAATAGACTTTGTTACTAGAATTTCTAATCTAACTTGTATCCATGTTTACTCTAACTGTCTCTTGAAAAAATGCTAATTGATCAAGAGTATCCTCTTCTTTGAACTCTTCACAGTGTCCTATTCATCTTTTATTTGAAGTATTTTCTTTTGAACTGATTTCACTTTCTTGAAGGTTTTGCTCATTCTTTTGTGCCTTCGGTTGACCTTCATTTTTTGTGGGATGTTGTAATGGTTGGTAGGTATTAAATGTTTTCTAGGTTCAAACATTATGTCACTGTTGTAGTCTTGTAAGTCACTTTTTCATAAAATTTCACATGGAACTGAATAAGAGGATACCATCTTTTACTCCACTCATATGTTCTATATCTACAGGCGGAGATGACTATGAAGCAAATAGAGAACCTTAGCCCCTCAATTATGAAGCAGGTTTTTCCACTGGTTGAGCAACTGACTCCTCTATACACGGACTTGATTAATGGAAAAGAAAATTTCACTCCAAGGCCCGAAGAAACTCAAAGACTGGTATGGAAAATTTTGAGATCTTAATGCTCATTAACTGTAGCTACATATTAACTAGGTACATATCATGAACATTTTTAGTTTACTTTGTTGCTATTTTCTGGTGTAACTTGTGTAGTGTTTATTTGTATGACCAATTCAATGACTACTATGCAAATGTAGAGCAGATACATGTAGGGATGGCAATGGGGCGGGGTGGGCTTGTCCTTTTGTGGGGAAGGTATGGGGTGGGGCGGGTTGAAACAAAATTTTGAACATCTTGTGCAAGGCAGGTTGCGGGTTGAAACAAAATTTTGAACATCTTGTGCAGGACGGGTTGCGGGTTTCACAAATCAGTTTCTTAACAAAATCCCTACCCACCCACACACCCCGCCCCCAACCCAATTCCTAAAAGAATGGCAGGTCTGATTTTTTCGTGATTTAAACTTCATGAAAAAAAAATGTTCAAAATCATAGTTAGAGGATAAAATTATTTTACTTTCCCAAGTAGCAATAATGTCATAGGAAATGGGATAATAGAGTAGCCTACACAAAATATCTATCTTCGTTGTCCAAAATTTTGTTAGTTTTCTTATCTAATATATATATATTACAGATAAGGTCCTACTACGGGATTTCGAGGAATCTCTTAGTAAAGTTCAAAGATGATACAATTGATGAAACTTCAACACTAGCTCAGGTGCTCAGCTCAGGTTCTGCCATCAGCTCAATGCTGGACATGTCTATCCGCACTCTTCCTGGAGACCATGCGCTTCCTCTACAGCAGGTTCACCTTAAACTACGAAACTCAGTGAAATGAAAGTACATCTCATCTAGTTTCGACAATTTATGTGATGCATTTTCCTTTTTAGTTTGTCCAAAAAGAAAGATATATCTTCTCATTTACCTTTAATGAGACGATTTATAGCTACATAAATTGGGACGGGACGGAGGGTGACTCTGCTGGCACATTCATGTCAGGCCAACTTGTTCTGCAAATAGGTGCATTTTCTAGAGATTGAAACAATGTACACCATATCTTACCTTTCTTTCATTTTTCAGGCTCTACCAAATGTTCCTCCAGGAATGACGGACGCTGTTAACAGGAGCAGCGAGCTATTGGCGAATTTGACAGCAGGAACACCATGGGAAAACGTCACGAAGGAAGTCAGCAATACACTTGGTAATGTAGACTCTATAATTCTTAACTCTGGGAATTCAAAGGACTTGGATATGCTTGTGGAGACAATAACATCATGGATGTACTCTAACACAGGCCCAAGACTTTTACAGTGATATGCTAAAAAAATGTATGTATATGAACCCTCCTAATAATTTGTAATGATTGTATATACTTGATTGACATTTGGTCATGCTCATGTATAATGTATACTTGGATTTTTGGTATAAAAAGGTCAATTATTTGTAACTAGTAATGTCAATTGTAATCTGTGTATTGGATTGATCATGACCTGTGTACGATCGATAAAATTGGAGCAACTGTTTTATTTAAAGAATATATGTTTATTTTAGAGAATTGATGTGTTTAGTCATATTTTTAGAACGAAAATGGAATTGTAAGTGATTTTGAGTAGTAACTGAAGCTGGAATCGAGCACTTTTGGAATTTTGGCAAAGCACGATTTGTTGCTCTATTATTGACGAAAGTGATTTTTAAATGGATTATTCAAACACAAAATGTTATTCTCGAAATGTATTTGTTTAAAAGCAGTAATAATACATTTTAAAAAATAAATCAGAGTTTAGAAATTTGATGTACGTATCTTTGTCGTACATGATGTGAATAAAGGATAAATGGTGAAATGAATATGACGCATTTTGGTCTAGAACGGCCTATCACAAAAGCCAACGAATCGCAGCTTAAGCAATTCAAGTTACGACAAGAGAAATTGCTCAGATGATAAGCATTGCTCACCTCCGCTCTTAAGATCAGACAAAAAAGGAGCACTTGAAGAAGGAAAGGATATGACATGCCCTTCTCCAATGTTTTTACTTCTCACGTTCTGAAAACACATCACTTTTCATTGCTTTTTGTACAAATTATAATGACACTTAGCAAGTGAAACAATATAGTAACAGTGATTTGGAATCAACCAATTCTTTTTTAGTTTCCATTTGGTGTTTGGTTATCCAGATTGGAGCCCAACTAAATCTAAATTCACATTTCACACCAAAAAGTGTCCCACATTGGGGGAGGTAAAACACTCTTTAACAAAGAAACCAACAGCTCATATAGTCTATGTTTTTACATATTTTATAATCAAGATTACCTCTATCTCTAAAATATGCAACCACGACACACTGCTAAAAAGAGGAGAGCCTATTTTATAAATGAGCCAATCCACAGGCCAGTGACGCACTGTCCAAAACACGAAAATGAACCCACCCCACTCCACCCTTCTTCACTTAAATACCAAAACAATCCCATGACCTAAGACAAACAACAAAGTTGTCTAATGTTTGGTCAATATTAGAATTGGAAGACTAAGCTAATAATACTCACTCAAGTTAACTTCAATCCATTAATAAATTTCCGATCATAGCAGCTGTATACCACAATTCAACAACGTACTCAGTGTGATCCCACGAAGATGAGAGAAGATAGGATGTACACAAACACAAACCAAACACAGAGAAAGAAGCCGAAAAAGGCACTCATAATGGGAATAAAAGCTCAGACGAAATTTCTATCAAGGAATTCAAAGAAATTGATGGGGAATATCATAGGTAGAACAACATAGAGCTAATATATAGCAAAATTCAAAATCCATAAGTGAATTGAAACCCAATTTAATTGAAAAACATAGCATAACCAGACATGGTAACCTAAAAATCCTTTGTTCTTAAAAGATCAAAAAAGAAGAAAAAAAAACAGGACACCAAAACTGACTTTGTTACCCATATAAACTTTTTCACTTCCCACTCTAAAAGCAAATAGTTGCCTGTTCTTCTCTAATCTCCCTTTCTCCTGAAAGAACAACCTTCAGTGAGTCTAGCACGTCCACCAGTTGGCTGGCACAAGACCGTCTGGCAGTTCCCGCACACCACCACAGTCTGCGAGTGGCTGAACACCGTTGTTCTGCACGTAAAGAGAGAACGAGACTTAGATGAACTGAATTATCATTGTATGACAAGAGACTAATTTGAGAGATGTAATTGCAGGTGAGGTTGAAACTGAACCAAGGTGAGGATTGGATGTCCCACCATCCTTCCGAAAACAATCAGTTAGTGTGCATAAACTTCTACTTTTTACTTTGAGAAAAGAATTGCAGATGCTAACTAGTTCATCACACATTACAAACCCTGTTTGGACATGAAGTTTGTTTCCATTTATTCAAAAAGTACATAAAAACTTGTTTGGTTATTATATACATTAGAATGACTTTTCTGTTAATTATTTAGGATGAGTTCTCCAAACTTGATAAAACTAGTTGGACTATTTTTCCAGCCAAAGAAAGCAGGGAGCTTTATAACATAACAAAGTGAAATGTATCCCAAACACAAGTTTAATTATCAAATACCATTATTCAACTTCAAATGCTATATTTTTTTACAAACTCAAATGTTCAAATACCATTTCACATTCAAATACTACTCTTTTTTTTCAAATATCCCTAAAGTTATCAACTTCAATTTTTCAATTAACATTTTTCAACTTCAATTACTATTACTTCTCCAAATATCACAAAATTCATCAACCTAAGTTTTCCATTACCGTTTCTCAACTTCAATTACTAGTTTCTTTTCCCGAATATCACTAAATTCATGTCAAAAGCACCAACTAAGAAAAATGAACAAAAGGAGAAAAAAAAACTTACATGTTAAAGCAACCCTGGCACTTCACATCCTAGAAAACCAAAAAAACAAATAAATCACAGATTAATTCCAAGAATAAAAAATTCAAACCACAAATGCATATACAAATACATTGACAAACTGTTTCCTTTACCATGAAGAAAGAGTTGGGAGATTGAACCAAACGCTTGAGCTTGTGCTTTCTCTTCTCCTGCTCAGCTGGTGGGTTCAACAAGTCAACATCATTTGGAAGAACCTGACAAATCAGATTTTTACGTTAATACAAAAAACATTAGAAAAAAATCCAAATCTCCATAGCTAAAAGCTCTACAATTTGTAACAGATTACGTTAATACAAAGAACATTAGAACAAGTTTCAAATCGCCATAGCTAAAAACTCACTATTTTTGCTCCATCTTTTAGCACATAACGTAAAGAGCATTAGAACGAAATTTGAAAAACTATAACTAAAATATCACCAGTTTCACTCCAATTTATAACAGATTACGTTACTACAAAGACCATTAGAACGAAATCCAAATATCTACAGCAAAATTCTCACCATATTTCCGTCCAACTTATAACAGGTTAGGTTAAGAACATTACAACGAAATTCTAATTGCAACTCACCATTTTCGCTCCAACTTTTAACAGATTGCGTTGATACAAAACATATAAGAACAAAATTCAAATCTCCATGGCTAAAAACTAACCATTTGCGCTCCAATTTTTAACAGATTATTACGTTAATACAAAGAACACTAGAACGGAATTCGAATCATCACATCTAAAAACTCACCATTTGCGCTACAATTTTTAACAGATTATTACTTTAATACAAAGAACACTAGAACGGAATTCGAATCACCATGGCTAAAAACTCACCATTTGCACTACCACTTCTAACAGATTATTACGTTAATACAAAGAACACTAGAACGGAATTCGAATCGCCATAGCTAAAAACTCACCATTTTCGCGAGGCTAACGGGAGATTCCGGACGGCGGCGGAGGAGGAAGAGAGTCGGAGGCAGCTGAAATGAAGACGCTGGAAGAGTTATTCTAGGGTTTTTTCGCGAAGATTATAAAGGGATTTAGGAATGTTATGGGCCGTTGGATTTAGTAGAAGAGTTTTGATCTTGGCCGTCTGTTTAAGGTCTTTTAGATTCAGTAGGGATCCAAAGGGTAGGATTGTCCATTCACAATTTTTTTCCTTTTAATGCTTGTGCATAATTTTGAAACTATATTAGAAATGTAGATTAAACTAGAAAAATCAAATGCGACAAATTCAATTAAAAAGGTTTTGATAAAAGAAATAATCTCTAACTTCTCTTATAAAATATCATATGATGCATAAACTCAATTTATAGGTAAGAATAATGAAACTTGAGAATGCATAAGAGGGGGGGAAACTTGATGAGAGATTTCCCTTTGTTTTCTATCAACATTTCCAAATTTTACTTTTATCCTATACTAATACCTTTCTAACCATGCTAATTAGGGTCGTTCAAAATTGAATCAAAACTGATAATATAAACTGATAAAAAGTTATTGGTTTATCGATAATTTGTTATTGGTTTAGCCATTTCGATAATGGTTTTGATTTTTTTTATTATCGGATTATCGGTTCTTAGAAGTTTGAAGTTTTTTCTTAACAGGTTAACCGATAACCTGATAGTAAATTAAATAATTATATATTTAGCATTTAGTGTATAAAATCCTTGACTTAGAATTCGGTTTCATACTGTTATTTCTGACTGTCTCAAACTTTCGGTTATTATACAAAGTGAATGTGTTGTTTTTGAGCAAGATATAATCTGTCAACTCATGTGCATGGTATATTTGGTTCACCTTGTTTCTAAGTGATTTTCAATAAATAAAAAATTGTATCAAATCTTATCGGTTAAACTGATAACGATTAATAACTGATAAACCAATAATCAATAAGTCAATACCTTAATAGTTCTATAAAAGTTTAGTATGTCTACAAATCAATAATCGAAAAGTCAAACCGATAAACTTCAAAATCAAACCAAACCGACTGATACACAACCTTAATGCTAATTATAGTATTATTAAATATTTATCAAATAAAAATGTATCATTTTTTTTACTATTTAAAAAGAAATTTGTGAATAATCAATTGACACAAAGAAGTATTTATCAAAACAATACAACATGATACACCATGAAATAATACTCATTGTTGATCAGTTCAATTCAGTTGTATGTATCATCAACTTTCAATTTGTGAGCACGCTAATCCGATTATCAAATCAATAAGATATTTATAATTATTTTTCGATTAATCAATTTTTGGTTTAACAAATAAGAAAATGCTCATATAATCATGTTCACAAAATTAAATTACTGCAACACAAATTTTACATTAATAGCATTTGCTTAAGACATAATTGTTCGAATGCCTTCTAAAACTCCTACAATAAATTGCAAAAAATAACATTAATAGTTTGCATTTATTACAATCAATTTTAAAATTGAAAAGGAAGAAAGTAATACTAGTTTGCATCGAAAAGATAAAAGGTATAACAATAGTTAATTGGTTAAATAGCCTCTTGAAATTGCTCCCCAATGTATCTATCCGCAAGAAATTTCACGAAGGGTGTTCAAGTGCTAAAGTGAACCTGTTCTTCTTAAAAAGTGGAAAAAAATTGCTACTAGTGAGATTCGAACACACGAATATTTTAAGTTCGCGGGCCTTTACTCTTTCAAGACACCTGAAACCACTAGGCTGCATCATATTGTTGTGTCAAGAGTGTTCAAAATATGTTATTTAGTCACTTTATTTATCATTTTACTTCTATATACGGTATAATTTTCCGACGAAGGGTGTCCAATTACACCTTGACATAAGGGTGGCTACGCCACTGTGCATGACCACCTGCTTGTTCGATTGTGCCTGTAGTGGCGCAATCACAATTTAAACTTTGTAAGGACTAAGGTCGTGCAATAAATAAATAAAAGCTTTGCTCCTTTTTTACTATAAAAAAAAAAAAAGACGACAAGTCTAGTTTGTATTGCCTATTAACGAAAGTAACACTAATACATAAAATATTAAAGTCACTTTTATGTAATTACAAATAGAATAGTAATTTAAATTTAATGTTATTGAATTATCTATTTAACCATTAACCAAAATCATAAAATCAAACCAATCTTAATAAAAACAAATTGGGGTAAATGCTTTTTCTTAAGAAGCAAATGCTTATTTTAGAGAGTTTGAAATGTATAATCACATTTATACCAAGTGATTTGAATTGTAAAAGAAGCTAAAATGGAGCACTTTGGGAATTATGGAAAAACACGAATTATTGTTCTATTATTGACAAAAATGAATTATTTAAACACAACGTCATTCTCCCAAAGAGCAGTTATAATAAAATACATTTTCTAAAATGAGCAGATTTTAGGATTTTGATGTATATATCTCTTTCGTATTGTATGGTTTATAGATAAATGGTAAAATTAATGCTCTACACATTTTGGAGATTAGAGTGGCCTATCACGAAAGCCAACCAATTCAAGTTAACAACCAAAACGATTGCTCAAATGATAAGCATCTCTCACCTCCACCGGTGAGATACAAAGATATCTCCTAAAACATAATATCTACGAGTTCAAATGTGACTTATTTCCTAACAAGTAAATAACAATCAAGGGGTTCAAAAGATATTGATGGGGAAATACAGTTAAGGCACCACAAAGAGCTAATACATAGCAAAAATTCAAAATCCAATTTAATTGAAAAACATAGCATAACTAGTCATTGTAAACCCAAAATCCTTTGTTCTAAAACAAAAACAGGATTACACCATAACTTAATTTGTTACCCATATTAACTTTATCACTTCCCAACTCTAAAAGCAAATAGTTTACTCATCTTTTCTAGTCTCCCTTTCTCCTGAAAGAACAACCCTCAGTGAGTCTAGCACGTCCACCAGTTGGTTGGCACAAGACCGTCTGGCAGTTACCACACACCACCACTGTCTGCGAGTGGCTAAACACCGTTGTTCTGCACACATATAGAGAGAAAGACTAAGAAATGAACCAAGTTATATTTGTATGACTGAGACTAATCTGTAAGGTGTCATTAAAGGTGAAGTCGAAACTGAAACAAACTCAGGATTGAATGTCCCACAATCTTTCCCCAAAGATTCAGTTAGTGTGCACAGACTTCTACTTCCCTAAGGCGACTTTCTTGCCTTAACAGAAGAATTCTGTTCATCAAACACTACTGTTTGGACCTTAATTGCACGGACTCTTTACTTTTGATGCCTCACCCGTGTCGGATTCTCCAAAAATAGACTACTTTTGGCGAATACAACACGCACATATTGACATTTTTTGAAGAGTATGAGCAACACATAGGTTTGGACATTTTTTTTTTTCCTTTTTTCAAAAAGCATTGAAAACATTGTTTGGCTATATAGATTAGAATGACTTTTCAACTAATTTTCGAGGATGACATCTCCAAACTTGTTTTTCCAGCCAAAAAGTTGGAACCTTCTAACCAAGTGCAATGTATGCCGAAACTCAAATAAAATTTTCAAATACAACTTTTCAGCTTCAAATACTACTTAATATGGAATGTTAATGATTTCATCAACTTTACTTTTCAATAACCATTCTTCAACTATACATTTTTCCAAGCTTTAATCACCAAATACTATATTTCAACTTCAAATATACTACTTTTTCTAAATACTAAAATATCACTAAGTTGATCGACTTTAATTTCCAAATATCAATTTTCAATCTCAAATACTACTTTCCAAATATCACTAAATTCATCAACTTTACTTTTTCATTACCATATCTCAACTTCAAATATTACTTTTTTCCAAATATCACTAAATTCATGTCAAAAGCACCAACTAAGATAAATGAACAACAAAAAAAAAAAACTTACATGTTGAAGCAACCCTGGCACTTCACATCCTAAACAACACAGGAAACAAATCACCGATTAATTTCAAAAACAATATATATAAATTCAAACCACAAATGCATACACAGATACATTGACAAACTGTTTCCTTTACCATGAAGAAAGAGTTAGGAGATTGAACCAAACGCTTGAGCTTGTGCTTTCTCTTTTCCTGCTCAGCTGGTGGGTTCAACAAGTCAACATCATTTGGAAGAACCTTACAAATCCAATTTTGAACAGAGATCATGTTAATACAAATAACATTAGAACAAAATTCAAATCTCCATAGCTAAAAACTCAACATTATCACTCCAGTTTTTAACAGATAACGTTATTACAAAGAACATTAGAACGAAATCCAAATCTCTACAGCTAAAAATTCACCATTTCCGCTCCAACTTTTAACAGATTACATTAATACAGAACATTAGAATAAGTTCCACATCGCCATAACTAAAAACTCACCGATTTAGCTCTAACTTTTAACAGATTACGTTAAGAGCATTAGAACGAAATTCGAATCGCAATAACTAAAAACTCGCCGTTTTCGCTCCAATTTTAAACAGTTATTACATTAATACAAAGAACATTTGAACGGAATTCGAATCGGCATAGCTAAAAACTCACCATTTTCGCGAGGTTAACAGGAAATTCCGGCCGGCAGCGATGGAGGAAGAGCGTCGGAGGCAGCCGAGATGAAGACGCTGGAAGCGGTATGGTTTTTCTAGGGTTTTTCGCGAAGCTTATAAAGGGAATTAGGAATGTTATGGACCGTTGGATCCAGTAGAAGTGTTTTAATCTTGGCCGTCCGTTAAAGGTCTATTAGATTCAGTAGGGATCCGAGGGTAGGATTGTCCATTCACAAAATTCTTCCCTATAATGTTTATCTACTTTCTTTTGTTATTTTCTTTGATGAAAACTTCAAGCTTTAAGTTCAAGAATAATTTTTTTTAAAAAAAAAAATCTAGGGAAAAAAATAGATAACCAACTATTTTTTGAATGTATATTTGGTAAATTTATTTTTGTGTAATTGTTTTTAAATTATATTAGAGATGTAAATTAGATTAGAAAAATCAAGTACAAAAAATTCAATTAAAAAAAATGATAAAAGGAAATTATCTTTGACTTATCTAATAAAATATCATATGGGTAAGAATAATTAAGCTTGAAAATGCATTAGGAGGGTAACACCCTCTGTTTTCTATCAACACTAGATAATATAACCGCGATTCGCGCGGTAATTCATTATCTCATTAAAATTATGAATGATCATTTTTTAATATCTGAATATTAGAAATTTGGTATTGTCACATATATTAAGAACATGAAAGGTTGTAAAATTCTTACTCTTTAAAGATTTTATCTTATACATATTTCAATTATAATATTTGTTCTTTGATATAATTGGTTTCTCAATATTGAATGATTTTTCATAGATTAGTCAATTATCACTTTATCTATTGTTTGGTACATGTGCATGCAAATTATAAGATATTCAATTTGATGCCCTATTATTCATTCTTTAGCCAGTAACAATTAGTTTTTCTTGCTCTTTCATGTCATTGTCCATAAACACCCCTAAATATGTCATATTAAATTTATTATGTGAATAATATCAATGATATCAGCCTCTCGTATTCTCAAAAGTGTGTTCTTTGATTATTCTAGAGCTAATAAATCAGAAAAAGATCTCGTTAAGATTTTAAAAACTTTTTAAATCATATTTATATATGAACAGACCAAATCACATATTTATTATTCTAGAGGGGACCAGCTGGAAAAAATATTGGAAATAAAAATAATTACAAGTAATTTGGAGAATTCAGAAAAGGTTACAAGTACCAGTAGTTTTAATAATTGAGACTTCCCCACTTTTTTGTAATAGACATTAATAAGGAATAGAAAAGTAGTAATTGAAACATTTAATCTTTTATGAATAACGAATATGAAAGGATAAGAAAATATGTGAAAAATACATGATTCTTTCTATCTATCTATCTATAGTACCTTAAAAGTATAAACTATTTAACTTGAATATCAAATTATTATCATAGCCTTAACTTAAAACATCCAATTTAGTATATCTTTTATATTTTATATTATATTATATTTATTTAAATATTTAAATTGTAAAAATATATTAAAAGCATACACCTTTTAACAAAAGTGATTACATATGGAAAAATCCCACAAAAAGTAGGTACGAACCAAAAAATGTGGTTGTACTCAGTTGTTTGAGAATAGACCAGTTGAAATAGTTTTCTTTTGACATGTTGAATGAAGGAAAAAACTACAAAGAAATTATAGTTTTGTTTCATTATATTTTGGGCGATGATCCAAAGTAGACTTCCAAGGAATTGACGAAGTTTCACAAAAACTAGGGATGAAATTTGTCACGAAGAAAAAGATACAATAGTTAGTATAATTTGCCTAGTTTTTATAGGTAGTTCTTTGAAGTGACACAATCGAAGATATACAACCGTCTGAAGGGACACAAGAGTTGAAGAAATGAGTTTAAAGATAAAAATAAAACAGAGAAATACGTAAGAAAACATAAAAATAAGATTAAATTATACTTCTATCATCTACTAATTTATTCCCAATCATGCTAATGGTTAAAATTATCCTTAAAAAAAGGTATACTGTTTGTGGACTTTTTTGGTCAAATAAATAAGGCTTAATATGAATAAAATATTGAAAATGTAATTGAATATTTGTCAAATAAAAAACGTATTTTTTTAACTTACTAAAAAACTGTGTAATATAAATTTTAGATAAAGAAATATTTATTAAAACAATACAACATGATATATTGTGAAATAATATTGACTATCAATTAATTCGATTTAATTTTATGTATTATCAACTTTCGATTTATGAGCACGCTAATTCCATAATTAAATCAATAAGAATATTGATAATTGATTTTTGATTAATCGATATTTGGTTTAACCTATAAAAAAATATTCATATAATAATATTTACATGACATTCACAAAATAAAAAAAGTAGCAAAAATAGAACATGATATTTGATTTTACATTGATCACTTTGTTTGAATTCCTTCTAAATACTCCTACAATAAACTGCAAAAACAATATCATTAGTCTTTCTTTGTCACAAACAAATCTAAAATTGAAAGAAAAGAGATTAATTCTCATTATCGAGAAGAGAAAATATATTACAATAAAGAGACAACAAGTCTAGTTTGTATGACTTATTACCGAAAGTAATACTAATACTTAGAAAATATAATCTGTAAATTATTAAAGTCGCTATTACATATTTACAAATAAAAGAGTAATTTAAATTTAATCTTATTGAATTATCAATTTAACTATTAACTAAAATCGTAAAATAAAAAACCAAACTAATAACTCAATAAAACCAAATTATAAAATCATTAATTCAATATCGATAAATTTAATAAGTATCCCTCTATCTAACAATAGTTGTCCACTATACGATTTTGAAATGTTCAACAATAATTATCTACTTTATGGAATTAATTGATAATTTTACATTTAGTTTCCAATTTACCCTTATTATTAACTAGGTAATTTGTCCGCGCTTCGCACGGTCATAAATAATAATTGCATTGAACTTGCAAATAATCCTTTACTAATATCCATACATTAAAAATAATGGAAAAAATAGGTTCTTAAAAAAACATTAGCAATATTCCAACATGAATTTGATTATTTGTCATTATCACATAACTCAAAAACTTCTAATGACTGAATTATTCAGGAAATAATAAATCATTGGTTCTTTAATCAACATTAAAAGGAAAATAAGAATATATATACAAAGGCATTTCGTAAGAAAAAGAACACATTTAAGTTGCATAGATCATACAATTGTGATATATGTCTTAGGAAAAAATTCAAAAATTTGCTAACAAATTCAAAAAAAATAAAATACTCTTGAACATGAAAGTAATTATAACTTTTGAACTTGCATAATAAATTTCTACAATTGATAAGTGAGAAACTTCATATCTATGTAAAAATAGATAATATGTAAGCTTATATATAATACTTTTAAGTTATAGAATTTTATATAGAATATTAAAACATGAATTCTTGGAACTGAGTACAATAATTATTTTCTACACAATAAATATATCTACTATATGTGTATACATTCAATATAATTGGAGACAATAGTTTTGCACAAACACAAACAATAGAGTTTAAAACATGTACTCAAAAGCAACAATTAATATCATAAGCATAAATTAATGACTGTAAAAAACATACCAGGATATGTAAAAATAGAATGAAATAGAAAGGAAAAAACCGAGTCCACGAAATGCACAGGGTCCCCTTAAAGAAAATTATTCCCTTCTAATACCTGAGGTTTAAAGAATTAGATCCTCTCAGGATGGACAATTTTATTCACCAACGTATTAATACAAAACCAATGGTGTCAGTAAGCCACTCAACAAGAGCAAAATACACAAATATTTAATTGTGCAGTAGAAGAAGAAGTTTAGCATTTTCTTTGTTTTAAAATGAGAGAAAATCCCTTTATTTATATACAACAAAGGGTAGTGTGAACAAATGTGTATTGTGCCTTATTGGAAATGTCACAGCTCTTTGAAAAAGTCACAACCCTTCAGAAATGTCACAATCTTTCATAAACATCACAACCTTTCATAAAAGTCGCAATTCTTCATAAAAGTCCCAACTTTTCATAAACGTTACAGCGTTTTAGAAAAGTCACAACTTTTCATAAAAGTCACAATTTTTCATAAAAGAGGAAGACTAATTTTGGAAATAAATAAATTGAAAGGGAATCCTGGTTTGTGGTGGCGCCACGTAGGTAGGCCTAGGGTTCTCCTTCTATATATATATATATGATTATACTCATTTCTCTGACACTATATTTATTATATTTAAAAGACAATATAGTAAAATAATACTAATGGACAACTATAGTTGAACGACGGAAGTTTATTTTTTTCCATAATGACAACTAGGGGTGTACAAGTCAAACCGAACCGACGAACCAAATCAAACCGAAAAAAAAAATATCGATTTGTGGTTTGGTTTGGTTGATTTGGCGGTTGAAAAAAAAACTGACCACAAGGTTTGGTTTGGTATTAAAAGAAAAAAAGTCAAACCGAACCCAAATCAAACCGACATAATATATATATATATATATATATATATAATTTTATTTTATTTATAGATAAAAAAATGTTATTTATAATCTACTTTGTTAATATATTTTTAGTTAGTTTATAGTTTTCATATTTATACATTTTATTTCAAATTTGGGCTTGTAAAATTTGTAAATATTTTATTTTGTATTAAGATCCGAAGTTACAATTATATTGTTATAGTTTTTCAAATTCGAAGTTAACAATTTACTTTGTAAATATTTCGTTTTGTATTCAATTTGACTGTATCCTTTAATCTTATTAATTTAATATAATGAACGTTGATATTTTTTTTTAAATATTTTGTACTCATGTAAATTTTACCAATTTTATGAAAATTTCTATTCATTTAACATTTCTTAAGTTTAGCTTATCACACAGATAAGTAAAAATATATTTGATCATATTTTCAAACATCATATAGTTATAAAAAACCAAAAAACCAAAAAAAAATCGAAAGACCCAACTAAAACCAAAACCAAAAAAATCAACTTTACATAATTTGATTTGATTTTTAGATTTAATAAACCAATATAATTGATTTAGATTTTTTTTAATGAAA